CTTGTCCCCAGCACCTAATTCCCCTCTTGAGGCAGCGTCGCCAATTCCTTCTGTCCTTCTGACATTTCATGGGAACACAAGCAAAGACGTAGAAATCTTCTTTTAACCCACTTTAAATTTTATGCAAATAGCAGCACAGCAAACCCCCAGACAAACTCGGTTCTGTCTGGGCGCACGCGGAGCTTCTCAGTGGGTTTTCACAGCTGCATCGTACGGAGCCACCGCAATTTAGTTATCAGCGTCCTTTCGCTGGACACTTAGGTTGTTTCCAGTCTTTTGCTGGGGCAAGCAACGTGGCACGAATCACCTCCTCCTAGTGCCACTTGTCCCACATGCCAATATCGGAAGGCTCAAATTCTAGAAGCAAATTGCTGAGTCGAGGGGGTGAGAACACAGGCTCTGGAATTGTGCAGACGTGGGTTCAAATCCCAGTTCTGCCTGTTTCAGCGCTGTTGTATCAAGCTGCATTTATCTGACACACATTTGTACTATAAACAGGAGAGGATGGGGAATACAGGGTTGAGACAGAGCAGGAGAGGGACAGAGAGAAGAGTTTATATAGTACAGGCAATCTGACCCCACAGCGAGCAGAGGACAGGATATGAATGTGGATGTACCCAGGTCCCTGAGTCTCTCTAGTGAGAGACTTTCAGCCCAGAGTGGGATTCTGGGGCTCAAACACTCACGTATTTCGTACAACAAAGCCTCTGAATGCCAACCCCTAAGCCCTTCACCTGGGACTTCACCTGGTTGAAAAACCAGCCGCCTGCCCCAGTGCTGTGGGGAAGCTGGTGGGGCCACTGCCCAGGGTTCAGTGTGGATTTTCAGGAGGCGTTTTGACCCTCAGTGATTTTTGCCTGATAGGCTGGCTTAGCACTGAATCCCTCAGGTGGATGGGGCTCTGCTGGGCTGGGTATGTGACCTTGGGCAAGAGATACAATGCAAACACTCTTAGCCTCAGTGGCCCCGGTAAAGTGGGAGAATCATGTTTCTCTCCTTGTTTTCAGACTCAACTTTTTTTCCAGTAGGTCTCCCTCATCCATTCACCCTACCATCCATCCATCCAACAACCATCCATCTACTCATCCATCATCTACCATCTACCATCCTGTTTATCCATCCATCCCTCCATCATCCATCCATCCATCCATCCATCCATCCATCATCCATCCACCCTACCATCCATCCATCCACCATCTACCATCCTATTTATCCATCCATCCACCTACCTACCCACCTACCCATCCACCCTATCATCCATCCATCCACTCATTCATCCATCCTTTCCATCCATCCGTCCACCCACCCACCTACCCATCCACTCTACCATCCATCCATCCACTCATTCATTTGTGCATTCTTCAAGGGCATACTCTATGTCAGGGCTAATTTGGGTGCTGAGAACCACACAATTCCTGCCCTCAAGGTGTTCACAGTCTCTCACAGTGGCTATGACGTAGCTACAAATAACATTTCCAGGTAGGATGAGGGGAGGATCTTTACAGGAGGCACAAAGGTGAGGACCCTCCCCATCTGGCTTCTGCAGCTTCCAGTGGGAGTCTGTTCATGTCTACATCTGTGTCCATATGTCTGTGTGTCCATGTGTCTAAACTTTTATCTGTTCCCATGTCTGTGTGGAACTGGTTGGGGCCTGTGACCACATGTCCGCCATGTGTCTATAAGTTTCTGTCCCCACATCCATGTGTCTGCGTCCCGTGTCCTGGCATGAGTGCCCATACCTCCCTGTCCCTGAGCAAGGTGCAGGCCCCCGGGCTCCACACCCACTTTCATCCGCAATCCCCACCCCCAGGGGGGACAGGGCTCGCAGCACCCGGGCACCCCGGCCCTGCCTGAGCAAGCCCTGTCCTTGTCCCCTCCCAGGGAGGACCCGTGGCGCGTGGCGAAGATGGTCAAGTCCTACCTGCAGCAGCACAACATCCCCCAGCGGGAGGTGGTCGACACCACCGGCCTCAACCAGTCCCACCTGTCCCAGCACCTCAACAAGGGCACCCCCATGAAGACGCAGAAGCGAGCCGCCCTGTACACTTGGTATGTCCGCAAGCAGCGAGAGGTGGCCCAGCGTAAGTAATGACCCACTGCAGCCCCGTCTTCCCTGGCGGGGCTCGGGGCTCTGCGGCCAGAGGGTGGGGGCTGGAAGCTTTGCCACCCCATTACTCGGATGGGCAGACTGAGAGGAAGTCAGCGGGATTCAACCAGCATTTATTATCTTTGATGCCCCAGGCACTCTGGAGGAGGAGGGCTGGTCCTGGGCATCCAGAGATGGACGAACTGGGCCCCTGCCTTCCAAGAGCTCTCTGTGTAGAGGGGGAGCAGGAGAAAAAATCATTAGGATACGATGAGACGTGCATTATAATGTGATAACAACAACAACAAGAGCTAGTGTTTGTGGAGCACTCACTGTGTGCAGGCCCAGTGCAGCGTACTACATAAAGTCTTTCAAAGTGTTGAGCTGGCGGTGGAGGAGAGAGTGATCTACTCTTCCTCAGAGAGACAAGGGCATCTGGAAGGATCACACTAGAAGAACGTATGACCTTTTGACTAAGTCTTAAAGTGTGAGTCAAATTTTGACCCACGGAGATGCAGGGAAGGGTGTTTCAGGCAGAAAGAACAGCATGAGTAAAGGCTCAGAGGCGAGGTGGACGCTCAGGGAATCCTCCACTGCGGACCCGGGAAGACCTGGAAACCCACTATTATTTGGGGAATGGTGGGTTTCCTTACTCGGGCCTCGCGCCCCACAAAATCCCAAGGGCACGTTCACACTTTTGAGCCTATGTATAAAAATTTGTTTGCTATTTCTTTTATGAATTATCCAGGTTTAAAAAACAGCAATATATACTTAGTTAAAAAAAATAGAAGAAAATAAAGATTTTACAATAAAACTTAGGTGTCCTTCTCCTAAAGCAGCCACTTGGTATTCCCAATCACGTATGAATCCTTTCAGAGATATTTTATGCATGTACTAGCAATATATAATATATATTTTTTCCCTTGCTTTTGGAAGGGCTGCTAGCTATTCTGTTATTCGGAGGCACCGTTATTTGTTTAACTGGCTCCCTACTGAAGCACTTCTAGGGTTTTTCCAATCTTCTGTTATAACCAGCTGCTTCAAAGGACATCCTTCTCTGGATATGTTTGTGCTCACATGAGGGTGTGTGTATAGAATCAATTCCTAGAAGTGGAATTCCGGGTCACACAGTAGCTGCTTTAAAATCTTTGATAGATCTTCCCATCTTTGTTCCCACTACAAAGACGTGGTGACAATTTACACTCCCACTAACAGTAAAAATCACTGTTGAAAAAAAATAATGCACGCAATAGACATCTCTAATCCTGACTCCACACCTAGTCCTCACCCCAATGATGGAGATGTTCACTTCCTACTGGACTGAAATACACTCTTGGAAAAAACTTACAAAAAAAGTTCACTTCTGTACTGATTTAATTTGTATGAGAACATTAAAGATTTATTTTGAAAATCTGTTGGAACTAGGTTTAGTTTCTGAGGGGACTGTCTCCTCCCCAAACCATCACTGGAAGATTGTATAATATTAAATGAAATGCATATGTATTATTGAGTTATTATTGAGAGAACTGTAAGGAATGTAATCAAGGATTTCAGCCTAGAGCTGGGAATACAGAAGCAAACTGTGGCCCAAAGAGCCTTCCCCCGAGAATTTTTAACTTTAAAGGAGACATTGGAGAAGTTGAGATGCAGAGCATTCAAGATCTGACTGAAGTATTAGCACTCTTTGGTAACAAGGGACAGAACTCCAACTCAGACTGATATAAGCAAAAAAGGGAACTTACTGGCTCATGGATATGAAGAGTCCATGGCTGTTTCAGGTATAGCTGGATCCAGCATCTCTTGGCTCTATTTTCTTCTATGTTGGCTTCATTCTCAGACAAGCTCTCCTCACATAGGCAAAGACAGCCCTGGGAGCTCTGAGCTGCCATCCTGCCAGCTTAGCAACCTCAGAGGGAAAAGTGCACCTCTTTTTAGCTATTTCTGGCTGAATGACTCTTTTTTTTAAATAATGTAAACTTTTAAATGATGTATAACATATCAAAAGTGCGCAAATCCTAAGGATACAGCTCAGTGGATTTTCACAAATTACCAGCTGCCCAGAAGCCCCCCTCCCACTGGCAAGAATAATCACTATCCTGACTTCTAGCCCCGTAGGCTAATTATGGCTGTTTTTGAAGTTTATATAAATTGAATCATACAGTCATACAGTGCCTCCTTTCATTTAACACTATGTTTGTGTAATTCATCTGTGTGGTTCCATGTCATTGTAGACTGGCCATTCTCATTGCTGTATGTGAATATTCCATTGTGCGAATACAATGTATGTATTCTTTCTTCTTTGATGGACGTTTGGATTGCTTCTGAGTTTTTGCTATTGCCAACAGTGCTGCTGTGAACATTTCAGTATGTGTCTTTCACTCAATGTGTATATACATTTCTGTTGGGTGTGAATCACTGAATCAAAGAATAGACATAAGTTCGGCTTTAGTAGGTGCTGCCAAATAGTCACTAATTTGCACTCCCACCAGCAGTGCTGGAGCATTCCAGGTGCTCTGCATCTTTGTCAGCACTTGATAATGTCAGTCATTTTTATTTTAGCCATGGTGGATGTGTGGCGCTATTGCATTGTGGTTCTAATTTTTATTTCCTTGATGACTCCTTATGTTGAGTATCTTTTTGTATGGTTATTGGACATTTGGAAACCCTCTTTAAGAAGTGCCTATTCAAGAAGGTCACTCATTTTTCTTTCGGATTGTCTGCTTTTTTCTTATTGATTTGTAGGAGTTTTAAAAAATATACCCTGACTATAAGTCCTTCTTCAACTATATGTACTGTAAATATATTTTCCCACACTGTGGATTGCCTTATACATTCTAAATGATGTCTTCTTTTTTATGGTTTTATATTCTTTGGTGAAATTATGTCTTTTTTTTCAGTTATCTTATTGTGGTCATATTGGTTTATAACATTGTATAATTTCAGGTGTACATTATTATATCTCAGTTTCTGTATAGACTGCATCTTGCTCACCACCAATAGTCTGGTTTTTATCTATCACCATATATATGTGCCCCTTTACCCCTTTCACCTAACCCCAACTCCCTTCCTCTCTGGTAACTACTAATCTGTTCTCTTTATCCATGTGTTTGTTTATCTTCCACACATGAGTGAAATCATGTGGTGTTTGTCTTTTTCTGTCTGGCTTATTTTGCTTAACATAATACCCTCAAGGTTAAATGATGTCTTTTGATGAACAGAAGTTCTTAATTTTTTTCCTTATGGTTAGTGCTTTTTGTGTCCTATTTAAGAAATCTTTGTCTAATCCAGGGTCATGAACATATTCTCCTATATTTTGTTCTAATAGCTTTGTTTTACTTTCCACATTTAGGGCTGCAGTCCAGCTGAAATTGATTTTTGTGTATGGCATGAGGTAAAGAGTCAGGATTTTTTTTTTTTTTGGTGAGGAAGATTGGCCCTGAGTTAACATCTGTTGCCTATCCTCCCCTTTTTCTTGAGGTAGATTGTCCCTGAGCTAACAGCTGTGCCAATCTTCCTCTATTTTGTATATGGGAGGCCACCACAGCATGGCTTGATGAGCTGTGTGTAGCTCTGCACCTGGGATCCGAACCTGCGCACCCCAGGCTGCTGAGTGTGAACTTAACCACTACGCCACTGGGCTGCCCCCCACCCCCACCTTTTTGACAAGTTGCTTTGGCCTCAGTTTACAGATGGAGATACTAGTGCCCAGATTCATTTCTTCTCTTGTGTTAATTGACTACCAAGCACCATTTATTGAAAGACGATCCATGAACCAATCACAGTGGCCAGGGGTATGTGGTGTTCTTGTTGGCCAGAGAGAGGTCGCCCCACCTTAACCAGATGGGCTGAGAAGGGGGGAGAGGGACCCCCAAGGAGAATCAGTGTGCTGTTTCTGAAGGAGGAAAGGATGCTATGCAGGCAAAGCAGGTACCTACCGCTGGGGAGTTCTCAGAGAATGAACAGACGTTTGACTGAATGAGTGGGGCCCTAGTCGAGAAGGAGCAGGTGTGATAAACACTCCCCAGTTGTGAGAGGCAGTGCGGTACAGTGGCTAAGTGCAGGGTTCTGGAGCCGCACTGCCTGGGTTCAAATCCTGGCTCTGCCACTTGTCAGCTGTGTGGCCTTGGGAAAGTTGTTTACCCTTCTTGTGACTGTTTCCCCATCTATATAATGGAGATAAAATACCATCTACCTTGTGGAGCTGCCCTGAAGGTGAAATTTGTAGAAATGCCTGGCATTTAGGAAGCAAAAGCATCAGCTGCTGTTGTTATGTGTAATTTTCCTGCCAAGTGTTCTCTGAACTCCTCCTGTCCAATCCCCAATGGGGTAAGTTATCTCCTTTGCATGTTTGGCAATTAAAAAAATAAACTTTTGGGCCGGCCCCGCGGCTTAGCGGTTAAGTGCACGCGCTCCACTACTGGCGGCCCAGGTTCGGATCCCGGCGCGCACCGATGCACCGCTTCTCCGGCCATGCTGAGGCCGCGTCCCACATACAGCAACTAGAAGGATGTGCAGCTATGACATACAACTATCTACTGGGGCTTTGGGGGGGTGGGGAGGAGGAGGATTGGCAATAGATGTTAGCTCAGAGCCGGTCTTCCTCAGCAAAAAAAAAGAGGAGGATTAGCACGGATGTTAGCTCAGGGCTGATCTTCCTCACACACACAAAAAATAAATAAATAAAAAAAAATTAGGGCCGGCCCTGTGGCTTGGTGGTTAAGTGCGCGCGCTGCAATGCTGGTGGCCCGGGTTCGGATCCCGGGTGCGCATCGAGGCACCACTTCTCCCTCCATCCTGAGGCCGAGTCCCACATACAGCAACTGGAAGGATGTGTAGCTATGACATACAACTATCTACTGGGGCTTTGGGGGGAAAAAATAAAATAAATAAAATCTTTAAAAAAAAATTAAAAAATAAACTTTTAACTTTAGAATAAATCTAGGTGTACAGGACTACTGGGCAGATAGTACAGAGAATTCCCATATACCCCAGACCTAGTTTTCCCTATTATTAATATTAGTATGGTACCCACATTGATATATTACTGTTACTAAGTAAAGTCCATACTTTATTCAGATTTCCTCAGTTTTCCCCTAATGGCCTTTTCTGGTCCAGGATCCCATCCAGTTGTAGACATATTACATTTAATTGTCATGCCTCCTTAGGATCTTCTTGGTTGTGACAGTTTCTCAGATTTTCCTTATTTTTCATAACATTGACAGGGTAATTTTTTTAAGCTGAAATATTTTAGTTTTTTTGGCCAAGTCATAATGTCCTGTACTCCAGATCTTGTCCTGTACTCTGCCAGGCAAGATGGCCAACGGAGGGTCAGTGTGAGTGGGTACTCAAGCCACAGCTGCTGAGAATGATGGACTCTGAGCCAAGTGGGCTTCTAGTGGCTTCTAGGTTTGGCTTTTGATGGGTCTAACCCCACCTCTCCCTGGAGCACTGGCATCTGCTTCTGCCTCCTGGCACTCAGATGGTAAGGACACTCCCGCTGCTGCGCCCCTGACTCAGAATCTTCCTTCTGTTCTGGCACTTGTCTGTCCCATACCCTAGGTGGCCTGCTCAGAGATAATCTGATAGACTAGTTTCCATAAAAGTGGAACAAGCTGAGCAGGGCTAGCTGGGTCTCGTCTCTCCTGGCTAACACTTACACTTTTAGCTTGATTTCCAAGTCTGGAATGTTGAAAATAGCTCTGAATCTACTCAGGAGATATGGTTCAAGTTTCTGCTCTACTATGTGACCCTGGAAAAATATTTAACCTCTCTGAACCTCAGCTTCCTCATCTGTAAAAGGGGATGACATATGTGTCAAATGTGAACAAATGCTGATGCTTACCTGGAGCCTTGTATTGAGAAGGATTGTGAGTTTATATCTTGGCTCAGTAGAAAAGTGTGCAGGGGTTGATTAGTGATGTCTGCCTTGGACACAGGTTAAGAAAGGGGTGGCACGTGTGCTGTGTGTTTGTCATTACTGGATTAGATGATTTTGAAGTTCTAGCTGTAAGCTCCTCTGGCTCAGCACCCTGGGAATGAGGAAGAATCAGGGGCATGGTCAGGTGAACTGATGTGGGAAGGTGGGAGTGGCTGATGCCCTGCTCATGGTTCTCTGTGCCTACAGAGTTCACCCACGCAGGGCAAGGGGGGCTGATTGAAGAGCCCACGGGCGATGAGCTACCAACCAAGAAGGGGCGGAGAAACCGTTTCAAATGGGGCCCAGCATCCCAGCAGATCCTGTTCCAGGCCTACGAGAGGCAGAAGAACCCCAGCAAGGAGGAGCGAGAGGCGTTGGTGGAAGAGTGCAATCGGTAGCTCCGCTGGCGGTGGCAGGGCTGGTTTGGTCTGGGGTTGGGCCAGGCTGGGGAAGGGGAGGGTGGCTCTGGGTCCTGAGGGAGGCTCCACAGTCCTTGAGAGCTCCTGCTGTTGGCCCAGGAGTTCTCAACTCCTGCTCAGGGTCTGGAACCCAGCTCCATTCCTGGCACCCACCCCCCACCGACCCAAGCAACCCTTGAGTGGCTGCTCATCTCCTTCATGCTCACTACAACCCTACGACTATTTTGCTCACTTTGTGACTGGAGAGACTAAGAGAGGCTAAGTCACCCGCTCAAGGTCACACAGCAGAACTGGGATTGGAACCCAGGTCTGCCTCCTCAAACACTCAGGTGGAGCCCCACTTCTCAGAACCCTCCCTGCAGACCCAGGAGAGGGTTCCACTGTGCCTGGCCTGGAGGCTCACGAGTGGCCATTTCTGCAGGGCGGAGTGCATCCAGAGGGGGGTGTCACCATCGCAGGCACAAGGCCTGGGCTCCAACCTCGTCACGGAGGTGCGTGTCTACAACTGGTTTGCCAATCGGCGCAAGGAAGAAGCCTTTCGGCACAAGCTGGCCATGGACACATACAGCGGGCCGCCACCGGGCCCAGGCCCGGGCCCTGCACTGCCCGCCCACAGCTCCCCGGGCCTGCCCCCATCTGCCCTCTCCCCCAGTAAGGTCCACGGTGAGTGCTTTGTGGGCAAGGGGATTGGGACCATGGGTAGAGGGGACATGGAGGTAGGTGGGAGAGTTAGGGAGCACTACCTCAGTGGTAGCAGCCACCCAACCTCTTAGTACTTCAGTTTGGTTCTGCTCCACTCTGTTTACACTACTCTATGCACTCCACTGACCACTCCACTCCATCCACTCCAACCTAGCTTGATTTGGGTTACTTCAATTCAATCCATTCATCTCAGATCAAATAAATTCAATTCATTTCAGTTCAACTAAATTCAATTCAATTCTGTTCAACTCATTATAATCCAATTTAGTTCACTTAAATTTGGTACAGTTCAATCCAATCCAATTTCCAATTGATTCAGTTTAACTAAATGTAATTCAAGAAAATTCAGTTAATTTTGTATAGCTCAGTTCAATTCAATCCAATTCAATTTGGTTCAATTCAGTTCAACTCAATCAAGCTCAATTCATTTCAGGTTCAATTCAACTAGATTTAGTTTCATTTAACTAATTCCAGTTCATTCTATTCAACTCAGGTCACTGCAGTCTAATTTCATTAGCCTCAATTCAGTTCACTTCAATTGTCTTTTATTGAGTATCTACTGCATGCCAGGTGTAGCACTAGGCAGTGGGGGTAGCGGGGTGGGGCATGGACCTAATAAAGTACAGCCCTTGTGTTCAGGCAGTTGGAAGCAGCCAGGACAAGGCCTGGCAGGAGGTGGACACTCAAGCAAAGTTTGCTGGCTGCATAAAGAAAGATGGAGCGAGTGGCCTAAGCACACTGATGCAGTTTGGGGTGATGGGGGCCATGGTGCTAAGGCTGGACACTGCTCCCACTCCAGGTGTGCGCTATGGACAGCCTGCAACAAGTGAGGGGGCGGAAGTGCCCTCAAGCAGCGGTGGTCCCTTGGTGACAGTGTCTGCACCCCTGCACCAAGTGTCCCCCACAGGCCTGGAGCCCAGTCACAGCCTGCTGAGCACTGAAGCCAAGCTGGTGAGTGTTCCCACCTGGGTGGGGAAGACCCTTCCAACCCCATCTTCCCTTGGCTGGGAGATTCTGGAGCAGTCCCCAGGGAGACAGTGTGGGGCCCCCACCCTGACTCAGCTTGGCTTCTCCTCCAAGGTCTCAGCAGCTGGGGGCCCTCTGCCCCCTGTCAGCACCCTGACAGCACTGCACAGCCTGGAGCAGACATCCCCAGGCCTCAATCAGCAGCCCCAGAACCTCATCATGGCCTCGCTGCCTGGGGTCATGGCCATTGGGCCTGGTGAGCCTGCCTCCCTGGGTCCCACGTTCACCAACACAGGCACCTCCACCCTGGTCATTGGTAAGCTGGTGGGGATGGGGGGGCATGTGTGTGTGGGCGCTCATGGGGCTCCCATAGAATCTAGGAGCTGGAAGAGCCTCTGGGACTCATTCATTCATTCATTCATGTATTTATTGAGCGCCTACTCTGTGCCAGGCTCTATGCTACTTTAGTGATATACAAGTGAACCAAACAGACCAAAATCTCAGTGACCCAAGTGGGGAAGCAGACAATGAACATAATACGTACATTTTATAGTGCCTTAGAAGGTACAATATCTGTGGGAAAAACAGAGCTGGGGAAGGGGAATTGAAGTTTTCTAGTTTTTTATTTTTACAGCCCAGAAAGACTTTATTGGCAGGGACTACTATGCAGAAACTCAATATATGAAACAGATGGGGAGCTGCTGGGAGAGGGGAACAGAGTTAAGCCCCAGGGCCTTTGCACTGCTGTGGAACCCCAGGGCTCCAGGGAACCTAGTTTGACATATCCCTTGCCCATATATGAGCTAGAGGCTCAGAGAGGGGGAGTGACTTGCCAGGGCCATGTAAGTTAGTGACAGGTCCTAGTGCAAAGGTGTTTCCTGTCTGCCTCGCCCCCTCCCCTAACCCACTGGCTCAGGGAGGGAGGGATGGTGCCTCCAGGGGGTCTGTGCTGGGCCTGGGGAGGCAGTGGAGTGGTAGAAGGCCTGGCTGACTCCTGCCCCTCCCGCTGCAGGCCTGGCCTCCACGCAGGCGCAGAGTGTGCCAGTCATCAACAGCATGGGCAGCAGCCTGACCACCCTGCAACCGGTCCAGTTCTCCCAGCCGCTGCACCCTTCCTACCAGCAGCCACTCATGCCCCCTGTGCAGAGCCACGTGGCCCAGAGCCCCTTCATGGCCACCATGGCCCAGCTGCAGAGCCCCCACGGTGAGGGCCCAGCCCACGGTGGGGGAGGCAGTGGGAGAGGCTGGCTGTGGAGCACAGGGGAGGGGTGGCTCAGCAGATGCGGTGGCTCTGCGTGCGTCTGGAACAAACGTGAGTGCTTCTGCGATGGCGGGGGTCTGCGGGTGCTCAGATGAGCGCCTGTGGCTGGAATATGCTTCAGCGTGTGAACACGTGTGGCCGTGTGTGTGTGCACGTTTGTATGAGTGGATACACATCGGAGTGTTTATCCGTGTTTGCACGTGCACACTCACGTGTGGGAGTACTGGTCACAGTCCTTTCTCTGAAACCCTTGGCCATACGTATTTCAGGATTCACTATTTTCAGTTTAGAAAGGTGATGTGGTGGATGGACCATATATTACATAACACTCCCAGCAGGGTGCGGGGCAACACCCTGTCATCAAAGCACCACGACCGCTACAGGAAAAGGCAGAATTCCATGAAGTAGGTTCACAGAGACTGACCTCACCTCACATCAGGTTCAGGTTAGATTTTGCCACCATATGAGCTCTAGTGCCAATCTTACGAAAAGCTCTCGGTTTTCAGACCTTTTTGGAATTTGGAACTGGGGCTAAGGGATTGTGGACTTGTATCTCTGTCTCTGTGTAACTGCTTGAGTGCACATATTATGTGTGTATGTGCATGGTTACGGATTTATCCGAGTCAATGTGAGAATATGTGCTCTGTGGGGTTTTCTGCGGTGTCTGTGCGTGTGTGGGAGTGGGGGCTGTAGGTGGAACTCTGGGTTACATTTCGGAGAGGAGTCCTGGAGGTGGGGATATGCTGCCCTCCGCCCTGCCCACCCCTAACGGTGGCACCGGCCCTTCCCTCCGAGGCCTGTACTTAGCACAACAGCACCTGTGCCTCCTCTGCCCTTTCACATCTGTTGTCTCCAGGTGACAGGAGGAGCTGGGTTTGGGTTCCCGGCCTCCCCCAGGCTTCTCTCCACCAAGCCATGCTGAGCAGGCCCCTGTAGTTGGGGAGAGGGTGCAACTCCTCTGTCTGGAGCTACCAGTTTTGGAAATCAGCCCTGAGTCCCCAGCCACTGCCCCACGCCCCACATCTCCCAGAGCACCCAGCCTTGAGGCCCTCCTGGGAGGGGTCCAGCCTGGCCCACAGTGCCATGTCTGTATCCTCTTTCTCCTCCCTCCTGGCCAGCCCTCTACAGCCACAAGCCGGAGGTGGCCCAGTACACCCACACGGGCCTGCTTCCGCAGACCATGCTCATCACTGACACCAGCAACCTGAGCGCCCTGGCCAGCCTCACGCCCACCAAGCAGGTAAGGCCCAGGCCTGCCCTGACCCCTTCCTCGGGCCCTCCCCAGAACACAGCCCGGGGGCTCAGGAGGCTGCTGTTTCCCCAGGTCTTCACCTCAGACGCTGAGGCCTCCAGTGAGTCCGGGCTTCATACGCCGGCGTCGCAGGCCACCACCATCCACATCCCCAGCCAGGACCCTGCTGGCATCCAGCACCTGCAGCCTGCCCATCGGCTCAGCACCAGCCCCACCGGTGAGCGGCCTTTCCCTGCTCCCTCCTTGCGGTGCCCAGTCGGGGAGGAAGGTGTGCAGCAGCCCAGGGTCAATGGGAGGGGCCACGAGGCTGGCACTGGAGGGCACCCATGCTCCCCTGAACTGAGCCAAGAGGGGGGTGAAACCACAGGAAAATGGGCACATCTTACAGGAACATCTCAGTGAGTCGGTGAGGAAAAAGATGAGGGAATGGGAGAGGCAGCGGGGGCTAATGAGGAGGAGGAAACCGGGCTTGCTGTGGCCGGAAGCGGCTCCTGGAGGCGGTGGTTTGCTCAGGACTTAGCATTCTTTGAATTCGTTGCCAACATTTAAAACCAGGAGCTTTCCTAAAGAAATCCAGATCTCTGGCTTCTCTTGGAAAATTGGAAGGACTCGTGTTCCCACGCAGCAACAACGGAGCGTGGGCCCTCCAGGCCCCGCGTCCCACTCGGCCCATTCACCTCCATGCCCCGTAACCCGAGTCTGCGACCCACAATGTCGTGGTGAAGGGTGGGCACTCTCGAGTCAGGCTGCTGGGCTGAGGCCGGGGTGGCCACTTGCCAAGTGTGCAGCTTCGGGCAAGCTGTGCCCCCTCCTTCAGCGTCAGGTTCCTCCATCCGGCCCTGGCGGCTGCAGTGACAGCTGCTGAGGGCTCCATGGTCCAGGCTCCATGTGGACCGTGAGGCGCACGTCATCGGCCCTTTATAGCTGAGACAGCGGGCACTCAAGGAGGGGAGGGACTTGACCTTGCCTCCGACAGCTACCAGCTCCAAACTCAAAGCCTATTCTCTTAACCATCTCAGTCAGGGTTCTCCTGAGACACAGAACCAACAGGAACATATATATATTTAAGGAATGGGCTCACATGACTGTGGGGGTGGGCTGGCAAGTCTGCAAGCTGTAGGGCAGGCCAGCAGGCTGCCAACAGAGGCAGGAGTTAATGCCGCAGTCTTGAGGCAGAATTCTTTCTTCTCTAGGAAACTTCAGCTTTTGCTCTTAAGGCCTTCAACTGATTGTATGAGGCCCACCCACATTATCGAGGGAAATCTCCTTTAAAGTCAACTTACTGTAGGTGTAAACCATGTCCACAAAATATCTTCACAGCAACACTTAGATCAGTGTTTGCCTCAATGACTGGGTACCATAGCTTAGCCAAGCTGATGCTTAAAACCAACCACACCACCCGACCAGGGCTTCTCTGTTTCTTCTAAAATGTCCTGAGGAGGCCACTCCCTGGGTGGCCCTGGAGCCTGGCTGGGGGTTCATAAGACCCGAGGGTAGAGGTCTGACTTTGGGGTTCCTGTTATCTGCTGTAATTCAGGAGGTGGTGAGTCCCCCTAGGGAGGGTGGGGTTGGGGGGGTTTGGCGGGCGGCCAGCAGCCTCGTTTGCCTCTGCAGTGTCCTCCAGCAGCCTGGTGTTGTACCAGAGCTCCGACTCCTCCAATGGCCACAGCCACCTGCTGCCCTCCAACCACAGCGTCATCGAGACCTTCATCTCCACGCAGATGGCCTCTTCTTCCCAGTAACCATGGCAGCCGCCTCCCAGGGGCTGGGCCCTGGAGCCTGCTTGGGGGGTGACGAGGACATTTGAGCCTGTGAAACTTTCGCTGCCACGGGGCTGCTGCCTTTCCCTGCAAAATTGTGCCTCAGTCCCCTCCCTGTTCTGCCTGCGTCAGAAAGGGAGGGTTCTGGGGCGCCCCAACCTGAGGGCTGCTTCAGTTGCACAAGAGTGGACCGCTGAGAGCTGGGAAGCAGAGCTTGTTCCTGGCAGGACGTGGGAGGGACTGTCCCTGCTGCTCAGGTAAATCCTGTCACTCGGAGCAGAAAGGGGCAGCCTTTGGACTCTGGTACCCCCAGCTGGGGCCTGTGGAGAGCCCCGGGACCCCGAAGGGAACTCTGGCAGCCACACCTCTCAGGACACAAGTTTGCGTAGCTGTGACTTGCTGAGCTCCGAGAGGCCCTAGATCAACGTGAGCCGTTCTGTCACCTATGCCCCAACCAGGCCACTCCACCCTGCCCCCTTCAGCTACTGACCCAGACGGCCATTTACACCTACCCCGTCCCCACTCACCGAAGCATCCCGAGTGGCTACTCTGTGCCAGGGCCTGGGGCTCCCATGCCCAGGCCCTGGGAGAGCTCAGGCTGACAGGGAGGGCATGCGGGGCTCTCCCAATTTCCCTCCTCTTGAACCATCCACTCTTCTCCGCCCCCCCGACCTCCAGTTTTCCGGACATTTGTTTTCCCGAGCATCATGCCTTCTTACGCCAGCCTGGCATCTTGCCTCTACTGGAAAGCCCCCCTCAGGGCCGGGAAGTCGTTCTTGCTCCTGTGGGAGCTTCGTGACTCTGCGCCCAGGTTCCAGGGCAGCAGCTCCTCTGGCCTGCGGGGCCCTGCAGAGCCTTGCCTGGTTTGGGGGAGAAGCTGCTGAGCGCAGAAGACAGCAAGGCCTGAGCAGCTGCAGAGCTGAGGTGCCCAGAGCGAGGAGAGCCACCTGTGTGGACAGGACTGACGCCTGAAGCTTGGGAGCCCAGCCGGCTGTGGACGGGGACGGGTCCAGGCGGTCTGCAGCCACCCTGAGGAGCCTGAGGCCCTGAGCCACTGGGAGGGACAAGGCAGCTTGTAAACCCAGGGCACCTGTGACCTCACCTCCCTGGGGTGCTGCAGATAACCTGGCCCTCTGTGGCCACCCTCCAACCTGGGATTGAGGAAGGGGCTGGGGGCGGAACCAGCACCCCCTGCAGCTTGCAGCCAGCTCAGGGCGAGCCTGTACATTTATTTAACTTTTACTAAAGTAAATGAGGAACATACTGGAAACTTCGTGCTTGTCCACGCATGGCCCAGATGGTGTTGGGCAGGCAGAGGGAGGCTGAGGCGGGCCAGGCACCCGAGGAGAGACGGGCTCCAGCACACACTCTCACACCGCCTCTGCCTTGCTCTGCTGAATCTCTGAGGCAGGTGATGTAGCCAGACTTGCACCTTAACCTTGAGCTTCTGCTCCCTTCTTGCAGAACACCCCTGAGGCATGAAACCCAGGCCACAGGTGCTGTGAGCACCCTGAAGCCTGAAGCTGAGGTGCAGGCACACCTCTTGGGGTGTAGGCAGGAAGACCCCCCCCTGCAATGCTCACTTAAAATGTCTCATCCAGACTCAGCTCGGACCAGGAGGCAGCATCCAAATCACTTTGTCACGTTTTGGGTCCCTCAACAATTCATTTTCGATAACCTACTTGGCTCAGAGACATGATCGTGTGTGGTATATTCACAAATGTGGAGAAAGAAAATTCTGGAAAACTAGAGGGGAAAAAAAAAATCTCTCCTTCTTTTTCAGATAATGTTATACCAAGTCTGTGTGGCCTGGAGGGAAAAGTACAAAACTCTTTCTGGGCCTTGGCATCTCAGGGACCCCTTCCTTCATTTTTCTTAAGACTGTCTCCCACACCAGGCTGAGGAGATGGAGGCGAAGGAAAAGGTGTCCCTTCGCTTGCTCACCTCAGACAGCACTGGGGAGATGGAAGCTTTACCACTTGGCCATCGGTCTCGGATAACTCGAATACTTCCTCCTTCCTGAGGCCACGGAATGTTCTGGTACCACAGGTCTGCCCCAGCCCCCAGTGGGAGCACAGAAGGGTAGGCCTTGCTTAGGCTTCTCACCCAGCAATCACGTCTCTGCCCCAACCCCTGGGCAAGCCCCAGTCACGGGCAGAGTCTGGACTTGCCAGCCAAGTCCTTGAACTTGGAGAGGGAGGCGGGGCCTGGAAATGCCCTGTCCCCAGCGGGCCCCTCGTCCTTGGGGTAGTTGGGCTCCGTGCCCACGGGCTGGGGTCAGTTTGCAGGCACGGCTGCTGCATTCTTTGTTGGCGGGAACGGGGAAGCCTCATTGCCCTTCTTTGCCTTTTTCTTCTTTTTCTTCTTTTTGGTCCCAAGTGACGCCTGGTCTCCGTTGAGCTCGGGTGACTCCTTTTCCTGCTTGCCGACTGTGGCCTTGCTTGCGGAGGTGGCCGCGGCCAAGTCGGGGCTGGCCTCCTTCTTGGCTTTCTTTCTCAGCTTCCTTTTCTGCTTTCTCGCCTCCTTCTCCACCTTGACAGGGCCGTGGATGGCGGACTCCTGGAGAATGTCGGAGACTGACACAGCTGCCTCCCGGCACCGCTGCCACTCCTGGGCGCTGTCCTCGCTGCTGCAAGGGGAGGGCAGCCTGGGTCAGCTGCAGTCGGGACGGGGCCCCAAAGCTGCGCTCACTGCCTCAGTCCAAGCCACCAGAAAGAGGCCACGGCGGGAGGCAGTGAGAAAGCTCAGGCTTGGGAGTAAGGCGGACCTGGGTTCCAATACTGGCCTCTCTGCCTCCCAGCTGTGTGACCTTATTAAGTGACTTAACCTCTCTGACCCTCAGTGTCTTCTTCTATAAAATGGAGATCTTAACTGAGCCCAGGCCTCACAGGGATGTCCCAGGAGTGAGGTGTCTGGCACAAGATGGGTGCTCAAAAAGCAGTAAACATCCACCGCCAACCCCCAGTAGAACCTCTTCCCCTCCCGTGAGTGTACTGTTTCCCTAGCAACCTGGCAGGACTCCTTCTTGGCCTGGACCTGACTGGAGTCTGCTTGGCTATTCCGGGGGACCGGCCAAGGCAGAAAGCGGGCAAAAAGGAGGGAACTGCAGGAGAGGGCGTGCGATCTCACCTGGAGCTGGAGGGCGAGCGCTTCCGGCGGGGCTGGGGAGAAGCTCTCTTCTCAGGGCCTTCGGGGACGGACGTGAAGAAAAGGCGGAAGCCTAAAATGCAAAGGGGCAGAGTCAGCGCTGCCAGGGGCCGACCCCTCCTCCCGGGTGCTGAGGCTGCTGCCTCTGCCCTCAAGGGGCTCCTAGCCCGGAGGCGAAGATCCGGGAACCGCTCGTCCAACTACACAACGATGCCTGTGTGATGAGAGGCACGCCTGGTGCCTGCTGAGGCCACAGGACAGGCTGCTGGAGCGGACGCCAGCTGCCAACAGGTCAGCAAGCCCTCAGAGGCTTCTGGAAGCCAGCAGTTCAGCCTCCTGCCTAAGGCAGCTTCCTGCGTGAGCCGGGCGTGGGACAGAGCAGCCGGGAGAGGCCGACGGTGCGGTGGTACGGAGCTCCTGCTCAGGGCTGCACAGGCGCAGCCACTTCCCACAAGTGACTTCCCTTCTCAGAGCCCCAGCTTCCCCTCCAGTGTCCCCTGTAAATGGGGGTACCATCGCAACACCCGCCTCGTAGCGGGGCTGTGCGGATGGAAAAGGACACACCACAGCTGTGCTTCCCAGCCCCAGACTCACGGCAGGCGCTTAACAAACGGAAGCTGGCATTAATAGAGTAGCTACTCACCGTCGTCCTCTGGGGCGACCCTCTGTACCTCAGCCTCTGTCGGCTCCCTCACTACTTCTGAGATGGTAATGGAGCTAAGGGAAGAGGAGATGGTTGATTTAGGATAAGATTTTGGGTAACAACAAAAAATAAAAAAAAATTAAAACAATTTTTTTCAGTGGAGGGGATGGAGCATGTGGTCTTAAATGCAACAGCAGACAGCACACTGGCCTGCGAGAAAGGCCAGTACCAGGGCCGGCCCAGTGGTGCAGGGGTTAAGTTCATGCACTCCACTTCAGTGGCCTGGGGCTCGCAGGTTTGGAGCCTGGGCGCGGACCTATACTACTCATCAAGCCATGCTGTGGCAGCGTCCCACATACGAAATAGAGGAAGATGGACAGAGATGTTAGCTTAGGGACAATCTTCCTCCAGCAAAAAGAGGAAGATTGGCAACAGATGTTAGCTCGTGGCCAATCTTCCCCACCAAAAAAAAAAGAAAAAAAAAAGAAGGCCCATACCTACAGCCATAACATGCTGAACAGCCCCTGCCAGCTCAAACTGTACTGCTTCATTTGTTTAAACCCCACTTTATTCCAGAAAGTGCTGAGGAAGTTTTAAAGATATTCACAGTACAACAAAATGAATGCAATTTCAAATAGGACAAAGAGAAGATAAGGGCAGGAGGGACAGAAAGAGCTGGGAGTGTCGTCAGGAAGTCCTACGTACTTGCTAGAGAGAGCATATACCTTTTCCTCTGAACTTCCTGGTTGCAAGCATGAAAAGGGAAACACGACCAGTCTAGAGAGATTGTTCAGAGCTCGCTTCTAGAGCAGCACAGACCTTTTTTTCCTTAATTTTTTTTAAAAAATTGAGATAATTATAGATTGACACGCAGTTGCAAGAAGTAATACAGAGAGATCCCATATACCCGTCACCCAGTTTCTCCCTATGGTAACACTGCATAACTGTAGTCCAGTATCACAACCAGGAAACTGACAGACAGATAATCCATTGGCCTTATGCACCTTATTCAGAATTTGAGAGACTTGCATTCTGAATCCTGGCTTTGCCACTTCCTAGCTGTCCCCTTTGGCAAGTGACTTCATCTCTCTGAGCCTCTGTTACCCATCTGTACACTGGGGATGCCAAGAGTCCCTACCTCTGAGGGTCGTGACAAGGATTAAATGAGACCGTGGACATCAAGCACTTTGCACAGAGCCCGGCCGCAAGCAGGTGTTCAGGAAGTGGTAGCTCCGATGGGGATGAGGATGACTACCTCATCCAGATGCGCAACAGGCTTCACAGGCCCTCTAACAGAAAAATCAACCAGATCTCTCCAGAAGCACAGAGAGCAGGGAGAATGCCGAGACCAGGAAGCGTGACTCTGGAGAATGCTGACGGAGACGTCACCACACCCCGCAGAGCACAACGCGCTCAACACCGTCCTCGCGGCAGACACGGCAACGCGCCGGGCACTTCCTCCTGACTGCCCTCCGTCCATGCCAAAGGCCTCCCTCACAGCCTCGTGCAGGGAAGCAATCCGGGAGAGAGCGGGGACGATGCTGTCCAGGCCTGACTCTGACCCAAGTATCTGGACCCGGTTCAGCGTCGGTCCACAGGGGACATTCGGCCATGTCTGGAGACACTGGTGGTGGTGGTGGGGATGCTACTAGGGTCTAGTGGGTGGAGGTAGGGATGCTGCTAAACATCCTACAATGCACCGGACAGCCCCCACAACCAAGAACGATCCAGTCCAAAACGTCAACAGTGCCAAGGTAAGAAACCCTGATCTAACCAAGGGACCAGCTGGAGTGTCATTATCTCTGAAGAGAAACACGGAAACCCTGCAGGGAAGATCCTGACCGTGGTTAACCAGCCGGGCAAACGTCCGCTGTGGATCCCTGCAGCCAGGCAGCCTTGCTCCCCCTGGAGCCGAACAGGCACGATGGAAAACTGCTCCCACGGGCTGAAATGCCAACTGACCTTCCTAAACACACTCACCACACTCTCGAGTTGGGGGTCTGCACTAATGCCGCGGTGGTTCAGGCTGCTGAGGTCTGGCCCAACACTCTGTCTCAGAAGAGCAGCTGGTTTACACTTTGGGAGGACTCATCTGTCCTTTTTGTTGCCTACTTCAAATGGAAGGACTACCACCTGAACACTCTCATCCCCTTTCAAAACCTGCTAGGCTTTGCCATCAGGAATGGAGCTAGCCCAGCACATCCCAAAACGTGTTCCCTGCTACGTTATCAGTCTTCCATGAAACAAAGGCGCCATGGCCAAATGAGTTTGGAAAATGCTGGGCTAACCAAAGTTACACAGGTCTCTTTACTGCAGGCCTTCTCAGAGCCTTGAATATACCATTATGACTCTGAATCCCCAAGAGCACAGGGGGTATGCACACTGCAGTGTTTCCCAACTTCTTAGCTCTTGGACCTCTTTTTTCTAGAGCCACTACTGTGGACTAGTACTCCCTGGCACCTACTCTCAGAACGCCGGCCTGGATCTTTACAGACTGTATTCCCACTTGTGAGTAGGCGCACTGGCACAGTGCCTGAGATACAGAAACCTCCCAAGAAATAGTAATCCCGCCTGTCCCTTGCCCTCTGCTGGTGGGAGTGCGCTCCTGCTTCTTGGGGTTCCTCTCATTCTCATGGCAGCAGGCTAACGCAGTGGTTAGGAGCACGGCCTTTGGAGCCAAACACACTTGGGTTCGAGTCCCAGCACCGCTCCTTGCTCCCTGTGACTTCGGGCAAATGCTTCTTCTTGGGGGGAGCCTCTGTTTCCTCCTCTAGAGAACAAGGACAGGACCTATGTGGTAGGGTGACCACAAACACAATGGGGTGACGTACGCCACGTGCTCGCCACGGAGCCCACCCGCGCACCTGGAGCCCCCAGCCAACGTGAGCCATCACTGTCCGCATTCCTGAGGGCAGGAGAAGAGAAGGGGCGCTGCTGGGTACCTGTCCAGTAGGGCTCCCAGCTTCTTGGCCACGTGGGCTCGGAACTCGGGGGTGGTCTGCAGCTCGTTGCCGTCTTGCTCGTGCTCATCCACCTTATGCCTACAACACACACAAAAGGCCCTCACTGCCTGCCGGCTCGGACGCAGCCCCATGAGGGCAGGGACTACGTGTGTCTCATTCACCCTAATATCCCAGGGTCTGACCTAGCATCCGGCACACAGCAGGGGGTCAGTATTTGTTGAATGAATGGATAAAACTTGAACCAAAAGTGCACAGTACCTGAGGCTCGGCTGGGTGGCTGGCAACCGATTATTTGAGGCATCTGTGGAAATAATGAGTTGAGGCATTAATAGAGGAAATGCCAATAACAGTATCTGTTGTGTGCCACGCATGATTTTAAGTGATTACATGTATAACTCATTGAATCTTCCCAACAACTCCACTAGAGGCCTCACCATTATCTCCATTTTGCAGAAGAGGAAACCGAGGCAAGGAGATGGAAATACCTTAGCCAGAGTCAAACAGTTAATAAGTGACAGAGTTGGGACGAGGACCCAGACCATCTGGCTCCAGAGGCCCCCTCTTAACCACCACGCCGAATGGGCAAGTCCAGTGTAATTCGATTCTAGCATTTCCCGAGCCCCCCCTATGCGTCGGCTGTGTGCTGGGTGCTGTGCAAGAGAGAGGAGAAAGTGCTCAGTTATGCTAATCACATTTTCAAGCCAAGACACGGGGGATGCCTGGCCTGGTGGCCACTCACTCAACCAAATCCTGAAGGTCTAACATTAGCCGGTGGTGTTCCAGGTGCTGAACAACATAGATGGAGATCCCAGCCCTCAGGGAGCTTACATTCTAGTTGGCGGAGACAGATGACAAAACACACACACACTTCAAACATAAAATTAGATAACGGTAGGGCCGGCCCTGTGGCTTAGCGGTTGAGTGCGCGCACTCCACTGCTGGCGGCCCGGGTTTCGGATCCCGGGCGCACACCGACGCACGGCTTCTCCGGCCATGCTGAGGCCACGTCCCACATACAGCAACTAGAAGGATGTGCAACTGTGACATACAACTATCTACTGGGGCTTTGGGGGAAAAATAAATAAATAAATAAAAATTATTAAAAAAAAAAAATTAGATAACAGTAAATTTAGGGAAAAAAACAAAGCAGGGGAGGGCAGTGGGGAGTGCTGGGTGGAGGGTCATCCTATAAAGGTGGGCAGGGACAGCTTCACTGACAGGTGACATCTGAACAGATCTGAGAGGTGAGGGAGCGGGTCAAGTGACATCTGGGGAAGAGTCTTCCATGGAGAAGGAAGAGCATCTGCAAAGGCCCTGAGGCAGAAGCCTGTCTGGTGCGTTTTAGACCCAGCGAGGAGGCCAGTGTGGCTGGAGCCCAGTGAGCTGGGGGAGCAGCGGAAATGAGGGACTTGTGGGGGCCAGACCACGGAGGGCTTGGTGGGCCAGTGTAAGGACCTGGGCCTTGAGGGAGGGGAGGAAGGACATACATGGACGTAGGATTTACAGCCCCTCTCTGGCTGCTGTACGGAGACAGATGGCAGTGGGGCAAGGGCAGAAGCAGGGAGCCTGCTGCAGTCCTGACACGGTGAGAAGTGGCATGCTCTGGATGTGTGTATTCTGAAGATGGAGTCAATAGGATTTTGCTGAGGGACGGTGCGAGAGTTGAGCGCAAGATGGGGTTTCTGACTTGAATAGTGGGACAAAACGTGCTTGTGTAATTGAGGGGCCAACTGAACAAAATGGACACTTGGTGACTCTGGGCCCAGTGCAGGGCCACAGTGTATTAAACAACTCCCGGGGACAGAGTTCGCTTTGTGGTCCGTTGTCACCGTGCTCTGGAGCACCACACGGAATGCCAAGCGCCCGATGCTCCTGGAGTTGGGGAACGTGGAGGCCCAGCAGGGACAGTCTTTAAAGACCTGGCCCTTCTTGCTGAGCACGCAATCACGAGGAACAGGAGTCTTTCCTCCGCCACGCCTGCAGCGCCGTGAACGGAAGGTAGTGTCAGGGAACAGATGCAGTATTAGACCCCAGGCCCCCGAAGACAGAGTTCAGTTGAGCCCCGGCTCTTCCACCGACAAGCTGTGTGATCCTGGGCCAGTCACTCTACCTCCCCGAGCCTTTGTTTTTCTCATCTATAAAATGGGGACAGGACTACCAACTTTCCACAGTTAGTGTAAGGACATCATGAAGCGCTATATTGTTTGGGCACTTGGTTTGCGTGTCCATCTCCTCCCTGGATTGTAAGCCACTGGAGTACGTGGTCTGCCTCTTTTTGTCTTTGTATCTCCAGCTCTTGGCATAGTGCCTTGGTGTGAGATAAACGTTGCATAAAGGAATCAAAGGGTACGTTGCCCTAAAATTAAAGTGGTTTGAGGGTCTGAGTGATCAGTTCCTCATCACTGGATCTAAGAGCTGTATCAGGTTTCGCAGTAATAAAATAGTGACCTACATTTCCACACAGTCATGGACCAAAGGGTAGGAGTTCTTCCCAAAATAGGCACTTGTCTGTGGCAGGGAGTGGCTAACAGCAGTTAAGAGCACAGACTTGGAGTCAGCGACCCAGATTTATGCCTGGTTCTGCCACTTACAAGCTGGATGACCTTGGCCAAGTTATTTCAAGTTTATGAGCATCAGCTTTCTCATCTGTAAAATGGGGCTAATAATTCCCTCTTTGTGGTATTGCTGGAAAAATTAAACCACACAACAAATGCCAAGTGTTTAGAACAGGGCACACAGTGAGTGCTCAATTCATAGTGGCTATTATTACTGGAATTGCCCAAGAAAGTATGTCAAGTGTCCAGTATCTCGTCTGGCACATAGTAGGTGCTTAATAAATAAAAGCACTTATTATCAGTAGCTATGTCTGCTTTGATCAGCAGGGGATTTATGATGTCCCAAGAACAATGAGGGGCAAAGCTGATCCCTTGCGTGCCACTTCTCACATGTATATGTCTTCATATGTTGGTCAAAGCTTGTTCATGTTTGAGACTCATAACCACCCTACGAGTCAGGCATTTTACAGATGAGGACACTGTGGCTCCCAGAAGTTATGTTACTTGTCTAGGACCAGCATCAGAGCTGGCACTTCATATCAAGTCCTGCTTCCACTGCCACACAGGAATCCATTCTGCCAAGGCCGAAGCAAGTGCGCTGGGAGTCTGGCTGGAGCCTCAGCCGCCTCATTCACTAGAGAGGTGCCTTTCTGGCAAGTTCATTCTTTCAAGAACTATTTTCCTGAGCACTATGCTAGGCCCTGGGGATACCAGGGTGAAGGGACAGGCCAGATCCCAGCCTTCACGAAGTTCACATCACGGAACCTCTCACTCAATAAATATTTGTGGAGCAAGTACAGGCCAGGGTTGATTCAAGGTGCTGGGGATGCGGGGATGAAAGGAAAAAAGTCAAGGCAAGTAAAGAGGCAATTGGAGGAAGAAAGGAAAGCACTTATGAAGGGACTCACACAAAGTATGATGGTGGCACAGACAAGGCACATAACCCAGCTTTCCTGAAGAGGTAGGGTCTCAGCTGTATTAAAGGATGAGGGGGAGTTAGGCAGGAGGGGGAAAGCAGTCCACGTAGAGAGACCAACCACGTAACTGCTGCCATTTATTGGGCCATTAACATGTGCCAAGCACTGTAGATGCATCATCTCAGTTACTTCTCAACTTTATGGGGTGGGGACCACCATTATTCCCACTTTACAGATGAGGAAATTTAGGTACAGTGAGATTTAAGTACCTTGCCCAAATTCTCACTGCTAGTGAGTGATGGAGAGGGAAAGGCAGATCTGTATATAGAATCTGAAGAAAAAACTGCAGAGTTATGGTGCCCAGAGATCAGAGGGCATGGTATGGTCTGGAGACTACCTATGGGAAGTGCAGTGTGGCAGGAGGGCAAGAAGGGAGAGGCAGGCAGGGAACGGATTACCAAAGGGCTTGTAAGTCCTTTTAAACAAAAGCAGGGGTTTTTGGACGGACCTGGAGGGTATCATGTTAAGTTAAATAAGCCAGAAAGAGAAAGACAAACAGGGCATGATTTCACTCATATGTGGAAGATAAACCAACACACGCACAGATAGAACTGTTTGGTGGTTACCAGGGGCTAGAGGGGTGAGGGGTGGGCACAAGGGGTGGAGGGAAGCACTTATATGGTGACTGAGAAACAATAATGTACAACAAAAATTTCACAATTAAAAAAAAAAAAACAACAGGAGTTTTTAACCTTGCTTTGCCATGGCCTGCTCTGGCAGTCTGGCAAAGCCTAGATCCCTTCTCAGAATGTTTTAAATGCATAAAATACAACATACAGGATTACAAAGAAAACCAAAGATATGACATCCAGTTATCATTAACAGAAAAAACCAAATTTGGGATATTAATAATCTGTGCTTATTAATGCATTAAATAAGATATACTGATGGGTCTAAAAATTACTGTAATTTTAAAGGAGGGATGAATGTAAACAATTTTTTTCCAACATTTTATTGTGAATAAAATGATATTTGGGTATATCTGCAAAGGCTGTAAAGAGATATGAAAATCTGTGACTTTTGTTAGGACAAACTAACAAGTATTGCCAAAGCTACCGCGGCTTGTCGCTTACGTGCGTGATGCAAAGAGATGCTAAATTTCAAACAGAGCTTAATGCAAGTAAAGATGAAATATTTTTCCCATTCCAAATTCACGGACCCTCTGGATTCTATCCATGATTAGGTACTTCTGTGATGAGGGGTTTGGGATTTATTGCCAGGGCACTAGAGTCACGGTCAGAGTCATGTGAAAATGTGCTGGAGGCGGGAAAAGGCTGGATGCGAGACTCCAGGAAGCGGGATGCCGCAGACGTTTCGGAGAGGTGGCGGGCTGCCCAGTGTGCAGCAGTGAGGATGGACCGAAGGAATCAGAGTCAAGAGACATTCAGGTCCTCAGTTTCCCTGACTGGGATAACGGAACAACCCTTTCCGCTGCACCTGCTAGCACTCTGAATCTAAATCCCACCCAGTCCCTGGAGCTCTCTCGGGCAAAGAAGTCGAGTCCCGGTGACTCCGTCCTCACCATCCATCCTCTCCGGCCCCAGGGGAAGATCCGACGCCCTTCGACCAGACTCCCCAACACAGTCCCCTACCGGCTCTTGGCTTCTCCGGCCCCCTCGGGCGCTGCTCCAAGCCCCAGGCCGGCATCGCCGCTTCGCGGCACCGTGCCAGCTCCTCCGCGTCGCTACTGCTGCTGCTCTCCGCATCACTCACGGCTCCACTGGGCGCCGCCATCTTGAACCCTCGCAAAGGATTGTTGGGAATCGCCTCCACGGCCCCACGTGAGACCGGGAAGCGCAGGGCATTGTGGGGATTGTAGTTATCAGACTCAGGCCGCCATTGTCCGTGAGCTGTCCTGGGGATTTCCTCAAACGTGAGAGCTGAAGGGGCATAAGAGATGAACTTTTCCATCCTTTACTTAATGAGGAAAATGAGATCTACAGAGGGGAAGGAATTGCCTAAGGCCACGCAAGGAGTTAATGAAAGAACCAGGATGGGTTCCCAGATTTTGATCCAATGTAGTTTCAATATTGTTTATGTATTCCAGTAATTCCGAAGTCCATCTGCGCGTCAGAAACAGCTTAGGGAGCTTGTTAAAATGCAGATCGTTGGGTCTAATTAAAAATTAACCGAATCGGAATCTCCGAGAGGTGGGACTCGGGAATCTGTATTTGCCCCAATATCCTAGGGCCTCGCTACTACTCAGCATAATCCGTGAACCAGCAGCGTTGGCAACACCGCGGAGCTTGTTAGAAACGCAGAGCCTCGGCCCCGGCCGACACTTGCGGAATCAGAACCTGCATTTAAACAAGATCTCCAGGTGATCTGCGTGCGCATTCAAGTTTGAGAGGCACTATCCTAGGAGACTCCGATGCACAGTTTGGTTTGGGCAACATTCTGCAGTTTTATAGCTCAGGACTTCTCCATCCTGCCTGCGCATTGGAAACATTTGGGGAATTTTTAAACACTGACTCCTAGGACCCACCCAAGGCCAACACGTTAGAATCTCTGCAGTTAAGGTGCTCCACATGAAGGAAGAACAAAATCACCTTTGTCTTTGGAATGCTTTTCTTCATGTTTTATCTTTGAAGCTGAGTGTGTCAAAACTTTCTTAATAAACTCTCTGATCTTGGTCTTTTCTATTATGAAAGAGAGGAAGGTGACTGTCTCCTTTTTTTAGACAAGAATTTGCCCACTACCTACAATGTGGGCTCTACCCAACATTATAAAGGATACAAAGAAGTAGGATGGGCTATCCTGTCTATGCCATGGAAAGGAGGCACTCTTTCTGTCCCTGAAGGCAAAAGGAGGTGAGAAATTTGTTACTACTGATAAATTGCCCAGAGGCTGTTGAGAACCAATTATAAAGTGCATTTTATATTCTATGGTAAGTAAGTAGTCCATCAGAAAGCCGGGCAAAAGGGGAGGGGGAAAAAGGAAACTTTTTGTTGGTTGATTGGAGTAAACCTGATAACATGATGTCCTTTGATAATTAAAGATGCTGCTATTTTCCTAAAGTCTGTGGACCATTAGGTACTGTTTGTGTGTTTCAGGAGTTGAGGGGATTTTTCACACTGCATCAGCCTCGCCTTCCCAGACTTTGCCTTCGTCTTGGTTTCCCTACAGTCCTCACTTCCCAAAGCTGAGAGGCTCAAATGATTAAGCAACAGCCACAAGGATAGCATTAGCACCTGTGGAAAGACATGAAGACCACCCAAAAGAGAACGAACAAACGTTATTCATTCCCAACTTGCTGTAGCAAGGGAGTCAGCCACCATCCTTTGCATTTGTCAGAGACTCAAAGGCAGGCAGGGTCGTGGGAAAGCTTTATAGTGGAGAAAAGAGAAGGCTTTGGGGATGCCCTAACTGAGGTTGTTGGTGGGGAGAAACTGGAGGTGGGCTACCTAGAAGCAGGGCATCCTCTGTGATTGGTTAGGGAGCTTGTTTGGCCTTTTCTGGTTGGTCCTAACTTGGAAGGGGCTCAGTTAGGGAAGCTCACAGTTATTGACCAAGTCCTGATGGTTTTGAGTTGCTTGCTGTACAGGTTGTGGTTTGGCTTCCCAAGCTGGTGGCTGCAGAGATTGTGGGTCAGAATTCTCTTGTCATATATGGTCTGACCATTGTCCATTTGTATGTCTAGTCTCTCACACCCCTCTTTAGTGCTCCACTGTCAGGGCTAGGATAACCGTTTACAAAGTTGGTGAAGACACAGGACCTCCCAGCAGAGAGCTGGAGGGAGTGGTTGACAGAATGAGCCCTGGATTAAATGGCAGAAATGCACAGAGAGGTTTGCCAGAGGAAACTAGCTGAGTGGAAACGGAATTCCTCTGGCTTTCTTCTTGGAGAGGACAAGGGTGTCGCTGTCTTGGACACCATAGCTCCCTAAACCCAACCAATCCTGCAGGACTTGGCCTCGAAACTCCAGCTGTTGCTGCTGCCTAAGCAGCCCATACTTGTCTTCAATCTGTTGCTTCAGGCCCAGGATGGAGTCGTTGGGGTCGACGGCATAGGCGTGACTCCCACCGTCAGGATTCTTCACGAAGACCTGGATCTCAGGGGAGACAGTCTCCAGCAGACAGATGCGAGTGTTGGAGAAGACCCCGTAGTAGGCCAAGGAGCAGTGGCTACTGAGAAGCTGCCGCTTGCCGTTGGGATCCTGGAAGGACAGACGTTGCAGGCCCAAGTAGCCTCGGCTCTGCCGGATCTTCTCTTTAACCTGCTTTATGGGCTCATAGGGGTTCACTGTGAGGATCAGGTCTGAGTAACCCCACTGCTCCACTGTCACTTGGATGTCTCGTGCCCTCTGGAAGGGAGAGGAGAGAAAGGGGTTGCATTAAGTCCACACTCCCCTGTCTGACGTGCAAAAGTTCCCTTCACCCATCCCCACCTTTCCAACAGCAGCAGCAAACATTTAGGGAGTGTCAGCCACCTTCTAAGCCCTGCGCTGGGTGCTGTTCATACTCTTCTTAATGCATTTTATTCTCATAGCAGCCCTATCAGTTTGGTTCTCCTAGTATCCCATTGTACAGATGAGGAAATTGTGGTTGAGCAGGTTTAGGTAATTTACTGACCATCACAAAGGTAGTGAGGAGCAGAGCAGGTATTTGAACCGAGGTCAGTCAGACTCCAAAGTCTGTTCCTCACCACCACCAGAGGCCACGCTCAAGGGCCCAAGAGACCCAGGTGGCTGAAGAACACCATCTGGAAGATGCTGGGGAGGGCTGGACCTCTAGCTGATCTTTCAAGCAGGACTACAGGCCCAGCATTGCAAGTCTTCTGATTTTTTAAGATAAAAATCTTTACACGATGCTTTTTATATTCAGGAAAAATCCAGAGGCATATACTTTTCCGTCCAATTGTGGGCTTCATTTGGCTGGTGGGCTCTGTTTGTAATCTCTGCACCGTATCAGAGAGCCTCTGATTCTGCTTCTGCCTCTGCTCCGAGCAGGTCGGTCTTTTGTGCTGGCACACACCTCCATTCCTTCGCCCCTTACCCCATACCCAACCCTCTACCTGGGTGGAGTGCCCTCTCCTCTGAGAGTCTGTATCCCTCCCTGGCTTTAGGACCCACCTCAAGCTCTACCTTCTTCAAGGAATTTTCTCTGGTGACTTCAGATAACATTTATTTTCCATTTCCAGAGCCCCACAAAGACCTGGATGTGAATCCTGCTGCCTCTTAGCAGTGTGACCTGGTTAATTAACTTAACCTCTCTGAGCCTCAGTTTCCTTATCTGTAAAATGCGGATGATAATGATAAAGATAAAGATAATGATAACAATACTTGACCTTTCTACTTTACAGAATTGTCCCTGGACAAGCGCTTTGCAAATCATAAAGTACAATGTGAATAAAATAGAGTATTATGATTTTTGCCTGTACTGTAGGTTTGGCATCACATTATACTATTATTTAGCCTTTTTTGTTTTCTGAGTATCTTCTCTGATAATTCTTTCTAGCAGTTTTGTGCAAATTTGTTTCAGGGACTTGCTTCCTAGCAAACTCTGGTGAATTTCTTGATGGTAGGGGTCATGTCTTATTTCTGTACCACCACTGCCCCCTTGGCCACCCTGCCAGCCCCAGACGCAGTGCTGGCACAAAACAGCTGCTGAACTGACTTGCTTGAGCTCAGCTCATGCCAAGAGCGATCCGGAGCATGGAACTGATTTTCAAGTGGGTTATGGAAAGAAGGAAGAAAAGGAGGTTGAGAATTTGAAGATAAGGAACCTGAAGCTCAGAGAATTGAATAATTTCCCCAAGTTCACAGAGCTGGTGGGTGGTGCAGCCAGGCCTCAAACTATCTGACTCTGATACCCTGTTGGCTCCACTGACACAGAAATAAATACGGAAATACTCTGCCGTTATCTCATTCTGAGCTTCAAGCCCCTGGCAGCCGGGAAAGGAGCCATTACCTTAATGTTCCAGCTGGGGACTGGGTTCTCCTTGTTGTCATAGCAACAGTCCTGTTTCAGGCACTGGCAGGCCCTCTGAGCGACTATGTCCCATCTGTACCCTTCCGCCACATTGTGGGTGGGGTCAGCCGGATCCAGGATGATGGGCCTGCAACACAGGGAGAGGGTGCCCAGGCTCTTTGTGGTTTTGAGGGGTGCAAGCCAGAAAGAAGCCTTCTCAGAACCATCTGTTCAAGCCACTAGCATCTGCCATGTCCAGAGTCCTGAACCATCAGTCCAGGAGGGCCCAAAACATTGCTGGAGAGTAACAAGATGGAGACGAGTACGTTTCCAAGAATTCCTCTTGGGGAAAGTACTCTAGGTGTTTGCAAGGAATTTTTGGGGTGGGGGTGGTGAGACCCCAAAAGACATGCTGAAGCAATAACAGATGCCCACTCAGGGAGATTGGCCTCTTAAGTTCAGAGCTTTTGTTTTGCTGAGCGGGCTACTTAAGTAAGTTTGAGGCTGGAGCTGCTGAATTACTTTGGATAATAGTAACAGCACCACCACCAACTATTGATATTTATTGAGGCCCTGGGCCAAACCCTATGTGAATGAACCTATTTTAATCCTTCTATAAGGTGGGGACTATTATAACTGTTGTGATTGTTGTCCCCATTTTATAGATGAGGAAACTGAGGCACAAACTTCTCTAAGTTCTGACAGCCAGCAAATGGGATTCTTAACTATCTCCCCTGCCTCAACAGAGGACAGTTTGGGTGCCTCCAAATGTCTCCCCTCTATACAAATGTTGAATGAATATTTTAAAGAATATTGGCTTGGGGGCCGGCCCTGTGGCATAGTGGTTAAGTTCATGTGCTCCACTTCGATGGCCCAGGGTTCACAGGTTTGGATCCCAGGCGAGGACCTACGCACTACTCATCAAGCCATGCTGTGGCAGCATCCCAAATACAGAATAGAGGAAGATGGGCACAGACGTTAGCTCAGGGCCAATCTTCCTCGACAAAAAGAAGAGGATTGGCAACGGATGTTAGCTCAGGGCCAGTATTCCTCACCAAAAAAAAAAAAAAGATTATTGGCTTGAAGAGGGTCTAACAGCCTCCTTGGGTTGCTTGGGGTGACCAGTGTGTTGGATGCCAAGCCCATGATTCAGACCTGGCCTTGCCCTCCAGGAACTTTTGAGTTAGGAGGGAGCTCTGACTTTACCTATGTGGCAGAATGTGATAGGCTACTGGAGTGAGCTGGACACTTTAGGCTCCATGCTTGCTACTCCCAACATCCCCGGCTCCCTGAAATATTCCTGAAATAGTCCTGCCTGAAATAATCAGGGAACAGTGCCAGGCTGTTCTATGGGATGGGGGTCACCTGACCCAAAGTGACCCACTAGGTTACCTGACATGCTGGGCCTGTGCCCAGTGATCGGACTGGAGTTTGGACCAGCAATGATGGAGGTCCTTCACTAACTGGGAGTAAGAGGGGAGCAGGGCAGATGTGGAGAGAAAAGTAGAGGCAGTGGGAGGGAAGAGAGCCTGGGGGCAATGAGGAAGAGTGACAGAGAGAGTGCGAGTCTGTAGGTTTGCCTCAGGCCCAACCTGGATGGTTTTCCAACCTCAATTTTCTGGGCATCCTTATAAATCTCTTTCCCTAAGTAGACCGGGTTTTTCTTCCTTGTGAAAAAAGACCTGACACTCACATAAGGGAACCATAAACATTCTTGTGATATTGGCTGCACTGATCTAGAGCTTCTAATATGAAGAATTGTCTCAGACTGGGTTCCCCCACATCCCAAGATGAGGATTCGAGTGCAAGTGGTTTCTTCGGAAGGAGAAGCCAGGAAGCACCAATGAGGGCATGGGAAAGTGAGATGGGGAAGGGAAGGGTGCCAATAAAGGGTGTGTATCAAGGTGATTACCACTGTGGGCAACTGTTAGCCCCACCGGGGGGACCTGGGAAACAGTGTGGCACACGTCACCCAGAGAGAGCTCTTGCATCTGAGATGGGAGGGAGCTGGGGTATTTATCCACCAACTTCCACCAGTCTTTGGAGGAGGCTGAGAACCCGCAGGCAAAGGGAGGCAGGTGAACCAGCCTTCACTGAAATGGTGAAGGCCCAGGGGACGTGGGTGGGCACTGGCAGCTACAATAGTGAGCATTTCTCCAGCGTCTATTGTGGGCTAGATACTGTAGGCCCTGTACGTATGCTTTCTCCACCCCTCACAACAGTGCTGCATTGTGGTGCCGGTTACTCCTGTTTTACGGATGAGCAGCCGAGGCTCACAGACATGAGAAAATGGCAGAGCTGGGGTTAGACTTGGGTCGCCGTGATTCTTTCCCCTTTCCCATGCTGTCGCTAAAAAGCACTGAAATGGTCTTCTGAGGGCAAGAGGGCTGAGATAGGGTGGAGTGGTGGCTTGAGGAATAAGGAAAAGTCTTCTAGCCCCTAAGGTCCCTGGTGATTTTGAAAGGCGGCTGACTTGGGAGGTCAGCTGTGTCAGTATGAGATTTCAGTGCAGCTTCACTCCTTGATAAAGCCCACCTGTAAAACACCCACCACCTTTCCCTCAATTCTCTTTCTTTTCTCTGTGAGACGTGGTGGGCAAGCAGTGGCCCAGTACCTGTCTTTTTTGAGCTGTCTTCTGACAAAGTCCTCAATGACTGGGTTCTGGAATGTGTAGTACTTGGTCCAGTAGATGCAGATGAACTCATACTGCTGGAGCAGCTCCATCACGGTGGTGAGGCCTTCATCCAACCTGAAATTCTCATCCTCCTGAGTACCCAGTTCCCAGGTGTAGATGGTCAGTAGCTCCAGGGCATAAAGAGGGGGCAGCGCGGCCCTGGGGCACTTGGCTTTCACGTACTGTTGAAAGAGATGGGAAGAGAGAGAGAGAGACCCCAAGATCCTGTGTAAGGATGGAAAATCCAGGTTCTTGTCTCAGCTCTGCCCCCACTGGCTGTGTGATCTCCACCAAGTTACTTTCCCTCTCTGACCCTAAATGGGTTTTCCCATTTTAGAATTAAGGGGCTGGGATAGTCCAGTGTGTTTCAAACTGTGCTTGACATAACTCCCGGAATGGAGTTATGAAGAGGTGTCCCAAAGAGCGAGCAGGATGGGCTCTGCCACCAGCATTCCAGCCTGAGAAGCTCCATTTTAATCTATTTTAATGTATTGGACTTCTGAAAGGTTTCCTTTAAAGAAAAGGCTTCTAGCTAAAGAGAAAAAAAGGGGTGGGAGGAGGGAACTATAGGACTAGGTAATAGCTGAGATTCTGTGGTGAACATTGGGGTTACCTCTCTGGCAGCCGTTTCTTCCTTCTCCATTGTAGAGTAGCCATGCTGTTTGGATGGGATTGACCCCACCCTCAACTCCAGGATGGGCCCCGACTGGACAGGGCCATCAGTATAAACCTATTTGCTTTGCCAATTGATTGATTCAAGAGAAGCCATGTGACCTAAATTGGCTCAAGTTGGGTAAAGCCTAGTTCTTTTGTTCAGCAGTTGAAAGAAGAGAAGTCGTCTCTTATGTATGGATGCGAGGGCAGGAACAGCTGTAGCCATTTTGCCATCATGAGAGAAACCAGCCCGAGGACGAAGTTGACACACCGAGTTGAGAGAAGCTGAGAGTATTATAGAGAAACAGAGCTGGAGCCCTCACCAAACAGTGCCTGAAGCCCCCTACCTCCTGTTATGGGTTTTCACACATGAACTGATAATTCTCTTTATTGGCTGAGCCATTTTGAGTTGGTTTTTCTGTTAGTTGCAAAAGAAAGCATCTTAACTGAGACCAGTCACTTCCTATCTTAAGAACCTCTTTAATATTCAGCTAGAAAGTGAAAATTTCTTTCAAACATCCAGCTATTTGGTTTGTGGAAGCAAAATTGACATCTTGTCCTGTGGCCATTATAAATAAGAATTATACCACAACCCACAAGTCAAAGGGAAAAAAACCTCACTTCGACCTTTAAACAAACAAAAACAGGGTCATCTTGTCTAGTTCTAGTCTCCAAAATAAATGAAACCTTGAGCCTTTCCTATAAGTCATTGGCTCACTAACAAAAACAACTTTATCCTTGACTTAAAAAAAATTTTAATTGAATTCAAATTTATTTATAAATTAATGAATTTTTTTGGTAACATTTTGTGAATTCACACTTAATACTGTAAATCTTAACTAATAATATTATAATGTTTTTAAGACTGTAAGCTCATGGCAATACAATTTATTTTCTCCAATATTAGTGAGATTTTACTAGTAGGATTCTTAAAACTTAGATGATAAATAAAATGCAGGATGCCTGTAATGCTAAGAGGTAAGGCTTAAGAAAAATGAGCACTTCATTTCTTTTAGGATCTTCAATTTAATGGTATACAAAAAAACAAACCGAAAGAAAAGATCTATGTTCCCTTCCAGTGCTGATGTTCAAGGATGCCCTGATTTGTTCACGTTCTGGATTTCTCTGATTTTTTTTTTTTTTTTGCTGAGGAAGATTAGCCCTGAGCTAACATCTGTTGCCAATCTTCCTCGTTTTTTGCTTGAGGAAGATTAGCCCTGAGCGAACATTTTTGCCACTCTTCCCCTACTTTATATGTGGGTTGCCGCCACAGCGTGGCTGAGGAGTAGCATAGGTCTGAGCCCAGGATCCAGGCCCGAGAACCCAGGCCGCCGAAGTGGAATGCTCCGAACTTAACCACTATGCCACGTGGTCGGCCCCCGGATTTCTCTGAATTTTGCAATGTTGTTGTCTGAAGATGTCATGACCTTTCTAGATATGATAAGCAGGTGAGAAAATCGCTATTTTTCTACCACCAACCGAGACTATAAACCTAGTAATCTTGGTAATCATTTTTTCTTTAAATACCTATGGATTAAGCCCTTCACTTCTGCAGTCTGATTCCCTTGCAATTTCTCTGCAAGTTCTTATTTAATAAATGATTTTTATCTCTTAGTTTTTTGTTGCAGTTGGGAGATCCTACTGAGATTATCCAAGGGACTTATTTCCAAAACCGACTAAATTGTGCTGCTGGAGGAATGCACCTCATGGCTGTCTACACTTGGATGTGACCCTTTTTCAACTCCAAAGGTGAACATTGTATGGCAGCAGGTTTTACTCCTGCTGCTGTTTCTCTCCTCCTTCCCCATCACCAGCTCTCTTTCTATTTCTGATTCTGGATTGAATCTGATTCTTTGCCAAGTCTGGTTATGGTTCTTGTTCTTATTTGCATAGGGCCACTTATGTCCCTGATGGTGACAACACCCTGTGAATCTTGTTTTATGGTTTGACCATCTGCTAGTCTCTGTTGGGAGACAGATGACAGGAGTTTATTCTCTTCTGGGTGGCAAACTCAGTTGATGACTGAGTTTGATCATAGTTTGTGTTTTTCTTTCTTTCTCTTTTGGTCTGTTTGTCTTGAGAATTCTGATATCTCCCGGGAGCCTCACTGCTGTTGTCTTGCATGCCGTTGTGAATTTAAATCACTCAAAAATTTGTCTGTGCGTGTGTGTGTGTGTGTACGTGCCCGTGTACGTGACTCCTGGAAAACAGCCCTATAAGATTAGGAGCTGATGGGTGGATTTTATGCTGTGTTTATTTTTGACTCAATTACAGTAGTAAAACCAAAGCTGCTAATCTATGTGTGGGCAGATCCCTTTCTCCCCACTCCACTATAGGAAATTTATGGAGTGTAATTGGGAATAAATTTATGGGTAAAGGCTCATATCCTCATCAAAGGGAACTGGGTCAGAATTTCACCAAACTCTTTTTTTCCAGAAGTAGATGACTTCATAAAGGTGGATTGCTTAACAAAAGATCAACAAAATGAGAATTAATTACCCAGGTTAATATTCTACTTTTGTTGTCATTGTGAGGAAAAAACCCTTTCTTTCTTCTTAATCTATCTCCTATCCTCAATATGGGGCTATAATTGTGCAAACTAAGATTAAACATTCTTTATTCTTTTATTATTATTATTATTTTATTATTATTATTATTTTTTTTGTGAGGAAGACCGGCCCTGAACTAACATCTATTGCCAATCCTCCTCCTTCCCCTCCCCCCTTTTCTCCCCAAAGCCCCAGTAGATAGCTGTATGTCATAGTTGCACATCCCTCTAGTTGTTGTATGTGGGACGCCGCCTCAGCATGGCCAGAGAAGCGGTGCATTGGTGTGCGCCCGGGATCTGAACCTGGGCCACCAGCAGCGGAGCGTGCGTGCTTAACCGCTAAGCCACAGGGCTGGCCCCTAAACATTCTTTAAATGATATATTATTTCAGCTGACACCTCAGAATAAAAAAATTCCTATAAAAGTTCCCTGCTATAGATTATAAACTAACAAATCCTCAGAAAAACAAAGATAATCATTCTGTAAAATAAGAGCATATATAAATCGGCTCTGCTTACAAACTATTCAGAATGTCGGTTAAATATTCACAAAGCGAATTTATTAATTTCTTTTTCATGACTATGTAGTATTTACATAAGTTCAATAACAATTTGTCCTCCTTCCTACCAGGATAGAATTAGATAAATCAATTTATCAATAAATCAATAATAATAAATCAAATTTGTAAATAAATTTGTATTCATGCCAGAAATCTTATTCAATTAGGTATGATCCCAATATTAAGAATCAAGGACAAAATAAGACAGACCAAAAAGACAAATATTGTATGATTCCATTTATAAAAGGGACTTAGAATAGGCAAATTCATTGTGTTGAAAAATGAAATTCAACTGAGTAAATTTGAAGATCTAATTGGCTTTATTTAATGATTCATGAATTGGGTGGCATCCCATCCTAGCAGACAGAAAGGAGCTCCGAGGAGCTGTACATAATGGAAGGTTTTTATAGGCAGAAGGAGACAGGGCAAGGAAGTTATTCCAGCAAAGAGTGGATTGTTTCAGGCAAGGTCACCTTCCTTTGGGGGAAGGTGGGGGTCTATCAAGCAGATTACCTCTGACCAGATAATTCCAGATTGACTGGTTAAAGGTTACACTCCTGGGAAAGGCTGACACTGCAATTAGGTTAGGTGTTAAGTCCTAGTTTGCTGATGTGGGGCTTAGCACAAGTGACTCCATTTTGGGCCTGTTGTTTCTGTTTTTAACAGTAGAGACAGAAAGTAGAATGGTGGTTGCCAGGGGCTGGGCAGAGGGTAGAATGGGGAGTTATTTTTTAACGGGTACAGAGTTTCTGTTTGGGATGATGAAAAAGTTCTGGAAATAGATAGTGGTGATGTTTACACAACAATGTGAATGTAATTAATGCCACTGAATTATACACTTAAAAAGGTAAAAAATCCCCTAAAACAAACAAATAAAAAACTTATGCCAAAACCTCAACCAAAACACTGGGGAAAGCCCCATCTTGTTCCCAGAACTGCATTGAATTAAATACTTCAAAATAGAAAAAATAAACATTAGTTTGTTGGGAAATTAAAAAAAAACATCAAGGACAGCTCTTGATTTGTGGAAACGATGCTTATCAAGTCCCTCCTGGAATCTGACCTGGTATTGCTGTAGGGCTTATGAACGCCCAGCATCATAGGTAGTAAAAATAACACTTTTTTGGCAGGTGACAGCATTAACAGATTTTGATATCTCTGAGATCTGTGATATCCTTACAGTTAAGATTCGACAGACGAAACCTAGAGAAACTAAATTGCATATGCCTTGGTCCCTGACCCCAGGAGTGGAACTGATAAGAACAAGGAAATACTTCTGAACCGTGAAAGTAAAAGACAACTCCAGGGACCTGACAAAGCCTCTAGACAAAAAGGAACTATTAACCTTCTTAGCATCATGGGACTCTGGTCTTGTTCACCATATGATACAACTTCTTTATGTCCTTACATATTGATCAGCGCATCTTGTAACACTTAGCTGAATAAAACTTGTCAAATAAGACATCAAATTAATAATATTGAATCAAAAACTGTTTCAAAAAACCATATGCCATCAAATCCTTGTCTCAGGGGCAGAGACTTGAACAAAAGGAATGGCTAAAGCTGGTATGTTGTCCAGGGGACATTACAAATAAGTGTGCATATCATATGCGGGAAGAAACACTTTGTACCCTCAAACAAACAAAGCAAGGAAATGGATCAATCTGCTGAGTTCTAGTTCTCCAAATCTACCAAATCTGGGATCATTTCCTGTAAGTGAGTGGCTTAACCACAAAAACAATTTTATTCTTGGCTGTGCCAATGCTAATGTCTGAAGATAAATCACAACCTCGGTTGAGGTGATAATCATATAAGAAAATTGCTGTTTTCCCACCATAAACAAACTAACTGTAAACTCACTAACCTTGGTAATTTTCTGATTTTTATCTTTAAATACTTTTTTTGTGTGTGTGTGAGAAAGACCAGCTCTGAGCTAACATCCGATGCCAATCTTTCTCTTTTTGCTGAGGAAGATTGGCCCTGGGCTAACATCTGTGCCCATCTTCCTCCACTTTATATGGGACGGGGCCACAGAATGGCTTGACAAGTGGTGCGTCGGTACACACCCGGGATCTGAACCTGCAAACCCTGGGCCTCTGAAGTGGAACGTGTGCACATAACCGCTGCGCCACTGGGCCGGCCCCAATACGTTTTTCTTTTTTAACTGAGCCAATCTTTCTAAAATCCAACTCTCTTACCATTTTTTAAAATAAAGAGTTTTATTTTTTGTGTTTGTTTCGGAGTCTTCTCTTCATAAGTTTAAATGACTCGGTTCATCTGGATATTTTGAAATATACTAGGTACCCTGCAGACATTACATGTGAAATCTAAAAAGTAGCTACTGTGGATGTATTCACTCAGTAATGGTCATGACACTCAGGAACTCAGTCATTTGGAGGGGGTATTGGTGCAGGGTGGAATTAAACGAATCTTCCCTCTTGTTATTCCTTACCAGCTAAGATGAATGTCCACCAGAGAAGCCAGTGAAATTGACACTAGCCAGTACGGAGCATTACAAGCTCTTGTTTACTGAAATACTGTGTGGTCCTTATTTTTCTCCTTCCTTCTCTGTTTCTCTGTCTCCTCTCCCTCCTCCTCCTTCTCCTTCTCCTTCTCTGTCTTCTTCATTGTTTCACTTGACAGTTCAAAAGACTAGCATTCTCTCCCTGACCTCCATTTCCGTTTGATGCTATTTCCTGAGATGATGACTCTGGCCCCTGCCTTTTCTTCCCCTCTGTCCTCGGTGCCCCACTTGTGCCCCACTCCTGCCCCCCTCCTGGCAGCCCCCTCACCTGCAGGTACCAGTGTTTTACCAGCCGCAGGAGGCTTTTCAGCTTGGTTGGCCGATGTTTCACAAAGTTTCTCTGCAGCTCGCTGAAGGATGCGGAGAAATTTCCAGGGTAACCGCTGGCCTCAATCAGACTCACGTAGACCTCAGGGTGTGGCTGAGAGTTGGGAGGAGAAGGCCCTGGGGTGAGAGGAAGCAAAGGGAGAGAGTGGGGATTTAGGAGGCCCCATGTTGATGAGCAGTCTGTGGGGAGAGCCTGCTAACTCACTGGAGAATCTCTCCAGGGGAACCTGAGACCTCATAGCCTAAGAGAATAAAAGTTTGCCCTGCTTGATTGTCCTTCTAGAGAACCAAAAGTAGGCTTTCCATACCTCAGGCCACTCAAGGACTGTTGTCTTCTCTTGATGTCCCCGACACCCTCAGTTTCCCTTACTGTCTGTTTTGGATCTCTTTCTCAGCGATGTATTCCAACCTCCTGACACCTGAAGAGGAGAACCAGTTCCAGATAAGAAAGCTGGTTCCGGGAGCGCATTTGCTGACAGGTGTGCTTCTGAAGGCTGCGCACCCCTAATGCATCCTGGCAATGTCTTTCTTGCTCAGATGGCATCCCATTTCCGACTCCTCCCCCGAGCAACTCCCTGTGGCCATTCTAGGTAACAGGATCTGGGACACGAGATGAAACCTATATGGACCTGGGCTTGTAGGTGATGCTTCTACAAGCTGTTTACTTCAAACACCCAGGACTCTGCCTGAGGACAAACCTGGCAAGTTAATGCTCCTGGGAAGCAGCCCTCAGCCAGTGGCTGGGGAGAAGTTGGTGGATAAACACTCTAGTTGAGGCATGCTCTGCACTGTCGCCTAGAATTCTCCAGGGGCATGAAGCCCAGCTGCTCACAATGGTGGCTTGCTCACTATGCACTTTTTTTTTTTTAAAGATTTTATTTATTTATTTTTCCCCCCAAAGCCCCAGTAGATAGTTGTATGTCATAGCTGCACATCCTTCTAGTTGCTGTACGTGGGACGTGGCCTCAGTATGGCCGGAGAAGCGGTGCGCGCCCGGGATCTGAACCCGGGCCGCCAGCAGCAGAGCGCGTGCACTTAACCGCTAAGCCGCAGGGCCGCCCTCACTATGTACCTTGTGATGCTTCCTTCCTTCTCTTTCTCACCTCCCTACTTCCCTACCAGTGTTTCCTGGGACTCCTTGTCCTGAAACCCTTGTCTCAGCGTCTGTTTCTGGAAAAGCCTGAACCGTGACAGACCCCCGCACCCATGGTATAGTGCTACAGAAGCACCCGAGGTTACTCCCTACCTTTTTCCCCTCTGTGGGTCTCCCCTCCTCTTACAATCATGCATTTATCTGCATGATTCTTCGATAAATCTGTGTCCCAAGTTGAGCCACATGATAGCCAGAGTTGGCGCAGTCCTGCGCCCTGCGGCCACCCAGTGCCCAGCACAGGACAGGGGTTGAACGGATGAATGCAGGTGTCTGCGTGTGACCGTGAATGAGAGGTGAGGGAGTTGCAAGCCTCCCGGAGGAGAGCAGGTGTGTGAGTCCGCTGGGCTTCCCCTCTCCTTACCCAGGGCCTTGTAGGCAGGCACGATGGTGACAGTGATGGGCTCCGCCGTCCCCCAGGTCTGGATGGTGAAGACGAGAGCATCGGGGGCCCCCTGGTCTACCCGCAGCTCCTCGAGCCCGAGGCCCAGCAGGTCCTGGCAACTCCACAGCTTCTTCCGCATCAGGTGCAGAACGGTTTGGTGGTGCCTGGCCTCCTCCTGGAAGCTGTGGAAACAGCTCAGAAACACCACCAGCTCCACCTCCGTGGTGCTCCTGAGCACCGTGCCGTTCCCAAAGGAGCCCACCTGCAGAACACAGAGCCCATCACCCTGAGGCCACTCCCTGTGCCAGGCAGTCCCCGAGGCTCTTTACGTGGATTATCACACACAGCCCTGAGCGATGGGCGGGTAGGACTAATATCTCCTTTTTACAGGTGAAAAAACTGAGACGCCAAGAGGGTTAATCAGTCACCCTGGGTCACACAGTCTGTGCGGCAGAGCCTGGGTTTGAACCCGGCAGCCTAACTCCCCAGCCCAAGCTTCTTATTTACTACACTGCATTGCTCTGAGACGTAGTCTTCTCATCTGCAGAGTAATGCCTACTCCAAGGAAATAGTAATGTCTAGTCCACAGGGTTGTGTGAGGATTCTGGGGGGTCTGAGTCATTTCTTGACATTAAAAAGGGTGGTGCGGAATTGCCTGGTGGATGAGAGCCAGGGGCTGTGGAATGAGGCAGCCTAACTTCGACCTTGACTCTTGCCCTTGGCTCTTAGCCAGGTGATTATTCTACACCTGAAGTTCCTCATCTGCAAAATGAGAGTAATGATGGAGCATGAGTCATTGGGTTATTGGGAGGGTTAGAGGAGAACAAGTGTGGCAAGGGCTTGCCCGGGAGCCTGGCACACAGGTGGTCAGCAATTTATTTCTCTTCCTCCTCTTCATCTAGTTGACTCGGATCATCCCTCCGGCTGTCTGGGATTCAGTTTCCGCATCTGAATGAAGGAGCCTGAGAGGGATGATTTTGAAGGGGTCTTTTTGATGTTCTAAGGTTCTGGACTTTCTCTCCAGCCCGTATGAACTCTGGTGTACAAAACCCCACAACTCTCTGACCTTCCCTCTTTCTCACTCGGGTGGAGAAGTGGAATTGCTAGGGATCCATCGGACCTCAGGCCAGCTACCGCTCCTGTGGGTGGAGTCACTGCACGTTGATTATAATCCAGGTGTCACGGGTTGAGCACTCAGTGTGTCTGCGCTACTGAAAGCCCTTTATGCATATAATATGCTTTAATCCTCGCACCCACTGACTGAAGTATAATTATTCCCAATGTACAGATGAGAAAACTGAGGCAGTGGGGGGTTAATCAACTTGCCGTGACTCATAGCCAGGAGTCAGACAGTGAGTCAGAACACAAAGTGTGAGCCATGCCCTGCTTCTGAGGTGAGGAGTCCTGCCATCTTTTTTCCCCTTTTTCTCCGTTCTCTTCTCCACCTGCGTTCAGACTCAGCGCTTCTGCCCCGGTGAGAGGGTTAGAGATAGCACTGTGTGTGTGTGGATGAAGGGCACATCCCCATGAAGGCAGAGCCTAAACTGCCCTTCCTGCCTTTCCCGGTGGTAAGACCCAGGCAGAGAGGAAAGAACATTCTAGAATAGGCTTCATGACTTGGCTTCAGTTCGAACCCATTTAAACCCAACTCATTGGAGGACAAGCATTCACTCAGGTGGACCAGCCCAGCTCACCAGATTTTCAGGGTCGGGGGAGGGTTTAGAGCCTGAGTATTATTTCTCATTGACCATTGCTCCTTGGGTACTCTAATATTATCTCTAATATTTAGTGGCTTCAAGGGGAGAACCCCAGACTTTTCCCATTCCATCAGCTTCATTCTCAGGTTGTCAGAATGATGGTCTGGGAGGATATGCCTGCCTCAGACTGGTGTTCCAGACCCAGAAGAAAGCTCAGGCAAGAATTTATAACGATGCTTTTTTTTTTTTTTTAACGTTTACCATTAGCTAATCATTTAGCCGGCATTGACCCATTTGCTTGACGAGGGAGAGATGACGATGATGATGATGTTGCCCTAATTACAGAGAGAAGATAAGGGTTTGAGAGCTAAGACGGCAATTCTAAGGTCACACAGCCAGGAAGGGAAGAAGCCAAGACCCAAACCCAGGTCTGGCTGATGACAAAACTTGTGGTTTCTCACTTCTAAATCATATGACATCAGGTTACAGAGGCTGGGGATGGGTGTGGAGAAAGGATGGGGCCTGAGGCTGCTAAATCCTTCCTGGGTGGCTGCCCCTGGAGGGAGAACTAGAGCACTGGGCTGGGAGTCAGGACTCCTAATTCTGGTTTTGCCTTTGCCACCAGCTTGCTGTGTGAACTTGGGACGTCTCTCACCCTCTCTGTGCCTCAGTTTCTTTGATGTTTAAGTGAGGGATTGGCTGAGACTGTCGGATTCTCCAGGGCCTTACTAGCTTTGACCCTCTTGAATTTTGATCCTAGCTAGGATAGGCAGTGACATGAGGCAGCTGGAGGAAGGGCTTGGGGGGAAAATCTCAAGGGGGGCAGCCTGGAGCCCTGGCTGTGGAGTCAGATAGATCCTGGTTCAAATCCCAGCTCTACCACTAGCTGCGCGACCTTGGGCAAGTCACCTTACCTCTCTGAACTTCCATTAAAAAACCTTTTTATTAACAAAAATTTAAAACATAGAGCAATAGAGCATACAATGAACACTCATATCTCCAACCAGTTAGATTCCACAAGTCTAAACTCTCTGCCACATTCACTTCACCTAAACCACTTTAAAGTAAATTACAGACACCAAGGAACTTTATCCTGAAGTACTTTAGCATTTATGTCCAACAGAAGTGAATATTTCCCCCCAAAACCACAAAAGTATTACGCCTAACAAAATCAACTATGATTCCCTTGTATTTCTGATATCCAGGCCATATTAAAATTTCCCGAATTGTCCACAGACTGTATTTTACGGATGGTCTATTCACACCAGCACCCAATCAAAGACCTTGCATTGCATTTGGTTGTTATGAATTTTAAATCTCTGAGTTTCCATTTTGCTCATCTGTAAAATGGGAAAAGCATAGTACCTACTTCACAGAGGGCATGAATTGGAGGTAATATATGTTAAGGGGTTAGGCTAGTGCACCCCCAAAAGTGAATATTATTGTTGGCTTCATTACCGGACTTTTCTGCTCAAGGCAGCAGTGTGGTGGGGTGCAGGCAGCTGGGTGAGGTGTCCTGAGATGTCAGCGGCGTGGGGTAGAGATAACAAGCTGAGGAATCCCCAGCATCCTCAGGGGCGTGGACCCTTGTGGTGGGTTTTGCCCGGCCCTGGCCTGGGGATGGAGGGAACCAGCCTCACCTTGACCACCTTCAGCACCCGCACCTCCTGGTCCAGCCCACGCTCCCCGCGGAAGTGCTGCTCCCTCAGGAACTGCTCCAGGGTCCTCACAGCCTCTAGCACCTCGTCCTTCCATTCCCGCCTGGGCTGCAGCCACTGGGCCACAAAGGAGTCCAGCCTGGAGGCAGGAGTGTTGTACAGCTCTGGGGTCAGTGCCATCTCTGCTCTGAGAGTACCGCTGCTGGACAGATATATAAGCACACACCCACCCTGCTCCTGGAACACACCCCCTTCTTTAAGGGGGCTCCTCCTCTTCTGCTGACCTCCAGCACCCTCTGGGATAAAGGGCCAGAGCAGAGAGGAAACCAAGGGTGACTGGTTAACCTAGGGCTCCCCTTCTTGGAGACCCTTCACTGCAGCAGGGACACTGAAAGACACTGAGCCAAGGCTGGAAGGTCTGGGGCCACCTTAACAGGCCTGGCTTCCAGCCAACCTTTCTGTTCTTGGTTTCGATTCTCAACTATTAGAGTTTCCTTTTTATGACGTTTGGAAACTGAAATTGGCTTGAGTTTGGCTTGGCACCTCGCCCAGTAGGTCGGAGATGGAGGGTATCTGTCAGTTCCATCACCCCACCTTACTGTAAGAAACTGAGGCTCAGAGAGAGAAGGGACTTGCTCATGGTCGGGGTGAGCAGTGGGAACTCTGGAGTCTGACAGTACAGACTTTGAATTCCAGTCGGCCCTTCGCCAGACTCTTAACCTGTCTGACTCTCCCATAATTTACCGATAAAATGGGTTTCATAATAATACCCGACCCCATAGCTTGTCGTGTAGATTAAGCATGAGAATGTTGAGCAGAGAAAGCATTCAGTAAATGTGAGTATCATTATTCATTCACTAAACATCTATGGAGTGACTGCTAGGTGCCAGACATTGTGCTAAGAAGACAAGACATGGTTCCTGCCCCAAGGGGCTCCCAGAGCAGTGGGGGGACAGATAAGAGACTCCGAGAGTCCAGTGTGATATGTGCTAGGTAGAAAAAAGGGCATAGAAACCTGGTGGAGAGAGGGCAGAAGAGTTTCTTCTGGGCCACCTGTGTGTTAATGGGATGAGTCTTAAAAGACTGGGGTTGCGGCCAAGAGGAAGAGGGTACAACATGGGTAAAAGTTGGTAAGTGTGGACCATTCCGGTGTGTGCCAAGGACTCAGTTGTCAAATATGCCTTGGCATGGAAGGGAAGGAGGGGAGAGATGTGCCTGGACAAGTGGGCAGGGGTTGAATCTTGGAGTGTCATTCATTCACTCATTCAACAAAAACGTATGGAGTACCTACTGTGTGCCAGGCAGGTGCTGGGGATACGGCAGTGAAGAGGCAAAAATCCCTGCCTTGAGAGGGCTTACATTCTGATGGTGGAGACAGACAATAAACAGGAGAAACAAGTAAAATTATAGTAAATAAGATGGTTAAGTGCTAAGCAGAAAAATGAAGCAGGGAAAGAGGTTAAGAGGTACCATGTGTGTGTGTGTGTGTGTGTGTGTGTGTGTGGTGTTTTTAGGTGTTTAGTCTCAAATAACCATAGGGAAGGCCTGAAAAGGAGACATTTGAGCAAAGACATGAATGAAGGAGGCAAAGAGTGAGCCACGTGTATGTCTGAGGGAGAGGATCATTCACGGCAGAAGGAACAGCAAGTGCAAAGGTCCTGCAGTGGCAGTGTACATGGTGGGTTTGAGGAATAGCAGTGTGACTGGAATGGAATGATCAAGGAGGGAAAATGGGAGGGGATGAGGTTTGAGCAGTAAAGGATGGGGGGCAAATGGTGTAGGATCTTGAAGACTTCTAAGACTTTGACTTTTACTCTGAGGGAAATGGGGGAGACATTGGAGAGTTTCAAGCAGAGGAGGGACATGGTCTGATTTTTGTTTTAACAGAATCACACTGGCTGCTGGGGGAAGATTAGATTAAAAGCAGAGGGTTGGCGGGGGTGGGGTGAGAGCATGTGGCAAGAAGCCAGAGCTGGAGTATTGAATTAAGAATATTCGGATTATGACCTGCTGAAAGAAGATGCACAAGCCACCCACACAGGGGTGGCAGGGAGCTCCCTCAGCATCCCAGCTCCCACTTTGGGAAAATGAAACCCACACGGTCGTTTCCATTGAAGGTGCGGTTTCAATAGACCCACACAAAGGAAGCAGAGTCACAAGATTTATTACTTATAGATCCCAGAAGTGAGGGGGGCACAATTGAGCTGGGGAAGTCCTCTTTCCCAGGTCACAAGTGAGCAGGAGATAGACAGCAGGGTAGCAAGCATCCACTACTTATAAGGTGGCTGGGGCAGAAGTCAATAACTTTTTGTGGGCTCAACTCTAAGTCGTTATTTTAAACAATGACCCGGGAAAAACCGAAGTGGGAATTTACGGCAGGCATCTAAAACTCATGTACTTATCTAAACGTCCAGACTCTAGGTGTGAGTAGGGTTATCATTGCCTAGGCAGCAATTCAGAAAAGCAAAAGTTGTTTTTCTTATCACAGAGGGGAAGCAGGAGTCCAGTTAAGAAGCTACTGCAAGAGTTCAGACAAGAGATATGGCGGCTTGGATTGAAACCAAGCACGAAGATGTTAAAAAATCTTCCCTAGAGCAAAAACTTTGAGATAAGCTTTGCTAAATGCAGCTGTGCATATTCAGCATAATCAACTGTGGTTTAAAACTAATCGGGTCTTTCTGCCCCTCCTTAGTATATGAGTGAGCTGTCTTTCCCAGGAAGTCAAGGGCCAGACATCAAGATTCAGTCTTCAAGGCCAAACACAGGCTGAAGATGAAAACTAACCAGAAAAGTCCTGACAGTCAAGGGAAAAGAAATTCAGTCTTCAAGGTCAAACACAGGCTGATGGGAAGGCACCAACCAGTATGGCCACATGCTCCCTCTCCCCTACCTAAAACCCCAGCACATGCTCTCCCTCTCCTACCTAAAACCCCAAATAAAAACCCCTACCTTTTTCCCTTAGAGGAGGTGGATCTGAGTTCTAACTAACTCCCGTCTCCTCGTCTGGCAGCCTTTCGATAATAGTAAACCTCTTTCCTTGCCACAAGCCTGGTGTTTCGTGTTTTTTTTCTTTAATGGCCCTACTGTGCAGCAGGTAAATGAACCTGTGTTTGTGTTTGGTAACAGGATCATGATGGTGGCAGTGAAAGTAGGGGGAGGGGGTATGATACAATTTTTTTTTATTATGGAAAATTTTGAACATAAACAAAAGTGGAATAACATAACGAACCTCCATGTACCATCACACAGCTTCAACAATTATCAACCTGTAGATGACATTGTTTCAGTTATACCCCCATCTACATCTCCTTTCCTGTATTATTTGGAAGTGAATACCAGGCATCATATCATGTCACTGGATATATTTTGAATATAAACAGGTCTTGCTAATGATAGGGTATGATGTGAGAGCAAGATTGGAGTCAAGGACTACTCCAAGGCTTTTGGCCTTGGCAGCTGGAGGGATGGAATTGTCCTTCACTGAGATAGGAGAGACTGGAGAAGGAGTAGTAGAAGGCTGCAGTAGAGGCATGAAGACCAGGAGCTCAGTTTTGGAACTGAAATTTGAGCATCTATTAGAGATCCCAGTAGAGTAGGGACTTGGATGTGTGAGTCCGGATTTCAGGGAAGAAGTCTGGGCTTGAGATACAAATTTGAGAATCACCAGCATAGAGATATTTAAAGCCACAAGACTGGATGAGATCACCAACAGAGCGAGCACAGAACAAGAGAAAAGGACCAAGGACTGAGCCCTGAAGCACTTGATAGTATTAAGAGGTTGGGGAGTTGCAAGAAAACTTTTCTTTCCAGCAAAGAAAAATGAGAAGCAGCTAGGGAGGTAGAAGAAAAATCAGGAGTGGTGTTTTAGAAGCCAAGTGAAGACATTGTTTTAAGAAGTGATCCACTGGGTCAAATGCTTGGTCAATCTGCTCTGACTTTGTCCTGAGGGCAAATCAGAGGAGTGACCAGTGGTGATGTTAGCATTCTGGACAGATTGGTCTGGCTGCTTCTGTGGTGAGGATGGACTGTACAAGGCAAGAATAGGTGCAGGGAGATATGTTGGAATGTATCAGGACACTGTGAAGTGGTCCACAGTGGTGAGAGGCAATGGTGGCCTGGACCAGGCTGGAAGCAGTGCAAGTAGAGAGATTCTGGGTTCTAGGTCCATTTTGGAGGAAGCGTAGTCAGGACTTGGTGACTACAGGTGGAAGGTGAAGGAGAGGGAGAAGGCAGGGATGGTTATTGGCTCTCTGGCTTGGGTCCTTGAGTAACTAGGGGGAGGAGGGGCGCTATGCACAAGAGAGGAAGATAGAAGGAGGCACGAGAATGGTGGCAATCGAGAATGATGACTTGGAGGTACCCATGGATGATAAGGGGAGTGAATAGCTTCATGTGAAGACAAATTTGTTTTTCCTCAGCACACAGATGGTCATTGATGCCTTGGAGAAGGATGACCAATGCCAAAATTCAAGTGATGAGCAGAGGAAGTGAAACTCACAGAACCAGATGGGGTGGCCAAAGAGGTGGGACAAAGCTAGAAAGCGAAGTTGTCCACATTGCCTAATGCTTCTGATAAGTTAAGAAATATAGGTCTGAGAAGTACCCAAGAAACCGGTGACCATGGTGGGTGCAGTGCAGGGGATAGCTGGGAGCAGAAGCCAGATTAGGGTGGGTCAACAAGTAAGAGTGGTGAGGGGCATGGAGACAGGAGTGTAGATGACCCTTTCATGAGAGGGAAGAGGAAGACAGGGTGCGAGGTGGAGGAGGTGGTAGGGTGGAGGGTGTTTATTAAGTATCATTTTGGGGGGGAAAAAAACCCTCAATCATGATACATTTCAATTTAAACTTCCAAACTGGCTAACCCCAAATGGAAAGCATCACATTTTTTATCACATAAATTTGAAAAGTCCCCATGTTTCCAATGTTTGGTAGTGCCTGGTCCTTAAATAGTCCCATATTACAACAGTTTACAGAGCAGTGGCAGTGTCACAAACCTAAGTCAACAATAAAGTAAGACTCTAGGGCCGGCCCTGTGGCTTGGCGGTTAAGTGCACGCACTCCGCTACTGGCGGCCCGGGTTTGAATCCCGGGCGCGCACAGATGCACCGCTTCTCCCACCATGCTGAGGCCGCGTCCCACATACAGCAACTAGAAGGATGTGCAGCTATGACATACAACTATCTACTGGGGCTTTGGGGGAAAAAAGGAGGAGGATTGGCAATAGATGTTAGCTCAGAACCGGTCTTCCTCAGCAAAAAGAGGAGGAT